CGACGTGACCATCCCCCCTGGGGGGTGATTTCTCGCTTTCTGTCTCTATGTCTCTCTCTGTCTGTCTGGCGAGCGCACGCGCCCTACAGTGAAAATCTCTCCAAAAAAAAAAAAGCCAGGGTTTTGTTGTTTTTTATGGATGAATAGTATTCCATTGAGTATATGTGCCACAGTGTTTCTAACCATTCATCAGTTCATGGGCATTTAGGTTGTTTCCATGACTTAGCAATCATGAAAAGTGCCACAATAAGCATCGATGTGCAAGCATTTTTCGATTAAGTGTTCTTCTGTCCTTCAGGTAGATACCAAGGAGTGGGATTGCTACAATTTATGAATATTATTAATTCCAAGTGGTAAGTCATCACTGGTTAATGTATTGTATTTTTGTTTTACTAGGTAGTTTCTTTTTTTGGAAGTGTTTGTGTGGAGAAAGCTCCACAGAGGATATGTGTCACACTTTGGAGTCTGCTGGACTTAGCCCTCAGTTGTTATTGGTAAGGTTTTTTGTGGCTTGATGCTTTTCTTCCTGGTAATTATCATTCAAAAGTCTTTTCCCACCTCAAAACCACTGTGTTTTAGCATATCACGGGACATACATGAGAAGTTTCCAAAATGATCAGAGAAATTTGTAACCACCATATTTAATAGAGTAATATGATTTTATTACTCTTGTTCCCTGTAAATTTTAACAAGCATACTTTTGGGGTAGCCTGAAAGAAATTTAGAATCCTATAGGTATGCATTCATTTACAGTAGACTTTGATCATCAGAAAAAGCTCTCATATTAGAACTAAAAAAGATCCTAGAGAACAATGTAAACTTCCCTTAAAGTCTTGGAGAGTTGTTAAACATTTCTAAATTTTGACTGCGTGTTGTCATAGCTATTGGCCCAAAGTCCTCTTTATGAGTTCATTTCCTTTATCCACTTCAACTCCCTATATTTCTTAACATTTCAAAATTATTTGAACTAGTACATTTAAATTGACAGCCTTTATTTTAGGAGTTTGTGTTTTTTGTTTTGTTTTTTGTTTTTCACAGAAAGGTACTGTAGTATTAAGCAATCAAGGCCTTTCACAGATTCCAGTACTTATAGAAGATATGATACCACACATTTAAACTTTAAATTATGCCATAATTAACTGTGAACAAATCCTATGAATCTTAAAAATGTCTCGAATTTATTGACAGCCTTTATTTTAGGAGTTTGTGTTTTTTGTTTTGTTTTTTGTTTTTCACAGAAAGGTACTGTAGTATTAAGCAATCAAGGCCTTTCACAGATTCCAGTACTTATAGAAGATATGATACCACACATTTAAACTTTAAATTATGCCATAATTAACTGTGAACAAATCCTATGAATCTTAAAAATGTCTCTAATTTGGGCCAGCAGATGGCATAGTATTTACGTCACTGGACTCCCCACATTGTCAACTGCGGTTTGAGTCCTGGACCCGGCAGCTTAAAGCACATTGGGCGCGTGTGCATCCATGTCCAAAATCCCAAGAGGAGAATGGAGGAAAAGGGATTGTAGTGTGGTCATCTTTCTTTCTTTCTGTCTGTCTTTCTCTCTTTCTCTTTCTGTCTCTGTGGCTAGCACACACACCCTATAGCAAAAATCTGTCTTAAAATTTTTTTTCAAATGTGGGACCAGCAGTTAGCATAATGGCTATGTCGCTGGACTCCCACGTAGTCGACCGCAGTTCGAGTCCCGGACCCAGTGGCTTAAACTCACGCCGGGCGCGTGTGTGTGCGTGCCCGCCCAAGATCCCGAGAGGAGAATGGAGGAGAAGGGATTGCGGCGTGGCCATCCCCCCTGGGGGGTGATTTCTCGCTTTCTATCTCTCTGTGTCGCTCTCTCTGTCTGGTGAGCACATGTGCCCTATAGCAAAAAACCTCTCAAAAAAAATTTTTTTTTCAAATTTAAGTAAATAATGCCAGCTCATAGGCATCTTAAAAGTCACTTATGTTGACTTAAGTGTTTTTTTTTTCAATCTGTTTTTCATGACTTGTCATTTGATAGTTTCATGTACTTTTTCTCTGCTGCCAAGTGTGGTACCTTTGTATGGCTAAGGTAAGGGCAAGACCTACTGCTTCAGGTCCTCCCTCTCTTTCCAGTCGGAACCTACAGCCAAGCAGCAGGTCATTAGTTGACAGTGAGTCTGTGTTCATGGAATAGTGTCCTTTCTAGTAGTATGCTCCTTAATAGAGATTTGGAATGGTAAGCAAAGCTTGACCCTAAGGAGAGATGGAGACCATGGATTTTAGATATCTAACAGATAATGAAGAACCTCCTAGGGCATCTCATGCTACCTCTCACGTTGCATGGCATAACAAGCAACCACTTACTTCCAACCAAAAGAGTGCATCATCCATGTGCATGTGTGTGCTGGCTACAGAATGCAGGTATCTATGTTAAATATATTTGTTTTAGATTTTTAAAAAATCTGAATTTTATTCTAGTCTCTGCTCCTGAGTGTTTGGCTTTCTAAGGAAAAAGATATTTTGGATAAACCACAGTCTGTCTGCTGCCTTCATACAATGCTTTCCCTCCTGAGCAAGATGAAAGGTAGGGTGCTGGTGTGTGTTGTAGTTCAGTATTTTCAAGGTTTTTGCTACTGCTCTTGGAAACAAAGATTGTGTTTGAAACACCACAAAAAACTGGGAGGTGGCCAGCAGATGGCATAGCAGTTATGTCACTGGACTCCCCACTTGGCTGACCTGATCGCAGTTCAAGTCCTGGACCCGGTGGCTTGAATCATACTGGGCATGTGTGCGTGCATGCCCAAGATGCCAGGAAGAGAATATAGGAGATGGGATTGCAGTGCAACCATCCCCCCAAGGGGTGATTTCTCACTTTCCCTCTCACTGTCTCTGTTTGTCTCTCTCTCTCTCTGGCAAGCACACACACCCTAAAGCAAAAATCTTTAAAAAAATAACAAAGACTGGGAGGTAGGATACTTTTTCTTAACAAAAGAAGACTACATTGTATAAAATATTTTACTATAAATGTATTTATAGTGGTCCAATAAAGCTCTTGATGCATTTGAAGTATGCTTTCATTTATGAAAATTAAATTGATATTTTATGTCACCATAAAAAAATAAGAAGAACAATACCTTTTCTTAACTTGGGCAAATTGAATAGTCTTGGGTGGAAATAATATTTTTCCTGTTTTTTTTTAATGATTATCAGAATAATAATCTATTACGCTAAAATATTTAGTAGCAGTTTTTAATAATGATGGAAGTATTCCAAATAGGATTTTAATACTGTTCAGAAACAAGATGACTTCACAGATAGATTCCTAATAAATAGAATACTATTCTATTTTGAATAAAATAGATCATAGATTATTTTCTAGTCCATTCAGAAATATACAGATGCAGCAGTGGGGAATTTAATTTTACCATTATGTTTAACATTAAAGAGAAGGCAAAACAAAAATTGGTGAGTACGATTCATTCTTCAGTTTTCTCCCTGTCCCGCAGTGGCCATCGACGAGATGTGGGACTCCCAGTCTGTGTCCCCGTGGTGGCAGCAGATGCGCACGGCCTGCATTCAGTCTGAAAACAACGGAGCTGCTCTGTTATCTGCACACGTTGGGCATTCTGTTGCTGCTCAGATATCAAACAACATGACAGAGAAAAAAGTAAGTGGGCAAAGGTGCAACTCCCATCTGTACCCATCCAGTCAGCTAGGGATTTCCTTCTTTGGAGGTACATCATCTTTGGTGTTATGGAACTAGGATTTGAAATGTTTGTCTGGCAGGGTCTTGTTGGGGGTTTTTCTTTTTTTTTTTTTTTTTTTTTGATGAGGAGGGAATGAAGCATGCTGCCCTCAGTCCGTTTGTTCAGATCCTATGCATACTTCAGTTTAGCAGACACCACATGGTACAAGGGGGAAAGTGCTGAAGTTGGGAGTGCAGAGAACTGGCTTTCTGACAGTAGCTGGTGCATGTGGCGAGTCCTTTTAAAACAAGTCTCTTGACTTCAGTTTCCTCATCTATAAGAGGTCAGGATTAGACTGTGTTACTGCTTAGATTTATTAAAAGTTTTATGGTGCCAGAAGGAAACGTGGTGGTTAAGGCATTGGATCCCACATGGTGACCCCACGGTTCAAATCATGTACCCAGCTGCTTGAAGAACATGCCTGTGTATATGCATGCATGCCCAAAATCTTGAGAAGAGAATGGAGAAGGGATTGACATGACCATCCCCTCTAGGGAGTGATTTCTCACACCCTCCATTCCCATCAGGGGCACTCATATCCTATGACAAAAAGTTTTGAAAAGGGAGGGAGTGGGACCAGCAGTTAGCATAATGGCTATGTCGCCGGACTCCCATGTAGTTGACCATGGTTCGAGTCCCTGACCTGGTGGCTTAAACTCACGCCGGGCGCATGTGCATGCGCGCCCAAGATCCCAAGAGGAGAATGGAGGAGAAGGGGTTGCAGCATGGCCATCTCCCCTGGGGGGTGATTTCTTGCTTTCTGTCTGTCTCTCTCTGTCGCTCTGGCGAGCGCGTGTGCCCTATAGCAAAAACCTCTCCAAAAAAAGAAAAAAAAAGGGGGAGGGAGTTTATGATTGTCTCTACTTGCCCTCCCCTAAATCTAGTATTGAATGATTAAATTTTCTATTGAGCTTTTACTTTGTGATTTTTCCTCATCTCTTTAAAACTTAACACGTTTTTCACACACACAGACACACACACACAGAAGACTAGAATCCTTTTAATCTCACAATGGATCCGAATTGGTACTAATAGAAAAAGTTATGGTTCTTGTCAAGGTTGTCCCAGAAAATGTTTTGAAGTGTACTCTGGTTGAATCGGGGTTGCTACTGCAGGATTCCATGTCATCCTTGCCCCAGAGACTTCTCCCAGTCTACTCTGAACCCTCATGTCCCATCTAGTTAAGTGGTGATATTCATGAAACAGCATCTCTGTGTTGCTTCCGGTATTGCTTGACTGCATCATCTTTCAAAGTAAAAACTCATTCAGGATTATATTGATTCAGAATCTTTGCCAGAGAATCACCAGAGCCTCTTCTGTTAGTTTTCCCAAACAGTTTCAGATGCTGATTCGGAAGCCCTCACGGATTCCTGGGAGGCCCTTTCTCTTGATACTGAATACTGGAAACTCCTGCTTTTTAATAGAGGATTGTCTCATACTTCAGACTCTGCTTCACAGCAGAGGAAACACTCGGACCTCGAAAGTGTCATTGCTGCAGGCTGAGCCACTTCCAAGACTTTCTGTTAAAAAATTATTGGAAGGAGGAAAAGGTAAACCGAAGCCTATTTGAACATTTGCATCTATATTTTAATGCCACGAGTGTTTATATTCTTTTTAATAGAAATGCCTGAAAGAATAGAGAAAGTGAAATACAGTGAAATTTAAAAAATAATAATAACGGGCCAACAGATGGCATGGTGGTTAAAGTGCTGTATTCCACATAGCTGACTGACTCCACAGTTCAAATCCCAGCCCCAGCGAATTGGAAAAAAATCTCACTGGGCATATGTGCATGTGTGCCCCCCGCAAAAATATTAATCTTAAGAGGAGACTGGAGGAGAAAGGATTGCAGTGTGACCATCTCCACTGAGAGGCAATTTCTCACTTTCCTTCTGTCTCCAGTGAGCACACGTGCCCTATGGCAAAAGTCTAAAACATATAATAATAATAACAACCCTTTATATGGTTCTTCTCAATTAATTCTATAAGTCTGATTCTGTCAATTTCCTGCTTAGGAACCCCCAGATGTAAAACTTCTCCCAGCCTTATTAAATAAGCAGTGGGGGCCAGACAGTGACACAGTGGTAATTAAGTGCTCTCTTTGGCTGACCCACGTGGGAAGATTCCAGGTTCATATCCAGACATTTTCCTGAATATTCATGCCCATGACCCTGGGCCGACTGAAGCTGTCAGTAGATCGTGTCATGAGGACCTTGTTGGGGGAACCTGTCTCTCTGTCTCTCTCACGGAAGAAAGAAAGAAGTTTAAAAAACTAAATATTCAGAGGTTCTCAAAAAGTGATTCTCTGTTTTCTAACATGTCTGTATGAAGCCAGATTTTCCTTATTATTGCCTTTTTTTTTTTTTTTTAAGTTTATTATTCCTTGAGTGAGAAAGACAGTACATCTCCACAGGGTCTCAGTGCTGTGGTTCATCCTCAGCCTTAGCAGCCCAGATCACAGGCACACACGTGACATGAATAGGCAGCCTTTCCATGTGGGTCTGCCTTGCAAAGTATCACACTGAGCCATTGTCTGGCCCCTTTCCTAGTATTACTTCCACCAGAACAGCAGATCACAATCGATAGAGTGCTGAAGCCGATGGGAGAATCCCGTGTAAGTCAGACGTTAAATAAATTGGCAACAGTGTAAAGCTGTACTACTCTTGTCACTGAATACCTTTTTTTGGCTTTGGGATATGTTATTATTAACATGTAATAGATTGGGACCAGCATATGGCATAATGGTTACATCACTGGACTCCCACATAGTCAACCACGGTTCGAGTCCCAGACCCGGTGACTTAAAACTCTTGCTGGACACGTGTGTACATGCCCAAAATCCCGCGAAGAGAATGGAGAAGGGATTGTGGTATGGCCATCCCTCCTGGCGGTGGGGGGTGGGTTATTTCTCACTTTCTGTCTCTTTGTCTCTGTCTCTCCGGCAGGCACATGTGCTCCCATAGCGAAAGTCTCAAAAAAAGAAAAAATGTGATGGATTTTTTTATTACTCTTGTTTTTAAATGAATTAATAAAACTTTGTTTAAATTCCCAGTTTTAATTTCTAATACCATAAATATCGACAGATATAGTCTACAAACCAAAGTTCTTTGGGGTTGTCAATAGTTCCTAGCAATTTAAGGAAATCATGAGACTAAGAAGTTTGAGATTGGCCGGAGCAACATGTAAACGTCTTATTCTCCAATATCTTTGGACCTTGAAGCCAAATCATTTTTTCCATTTCTGTCTTACTTGCTTCCTAGATTTAGTTAAAATGAAGTGTCTGTGTGACTCCCACCTTCGAACCTGAGCCTGTCCTTTTCCTCTCCCCACCTCTCCCACTCATGGGTATCTGCCTTTTACTCATCTTTCAAGGCCCAGTCCTAATGCCACCTCCTCCAAGAAACCTTTCATGATGCACTAATTGAAGGTTTTCTCTCTTCCTCCTATTCTGCACGAAAATTGATTCCTCTTTTCTGGTGCATTATTTCCCATTGTGCTAGAGTCATTTAAAGGGGCCTGTGCTTATCTCCTGTAGGACTATAAACATCTTATTTTTTGAGTTATCTTTGGGTACCCACTGTCCTTATAAGCAACTCTATTAGAGATTTAATACTATTGAAATGACTATTCCTAGGTGTATAAATAACCAGGTATTTATAAATTATTTAGTTAATTTGTATTCTCATTTTTTATAAGACTTGTGACAAGTTTTTAATTGTAAACTCACTTTTTGTTGCCATTTAGTGAAAGTTTAGGGACACTGTTTATTATTAACCTAAGCAATGTAATCAGTGACTGAAATCTGGAATGAGAATTGTCAAGTGATTGAGAAACCAAACATAAGAAATTAGGGTATCAGCAGATGGCATGATGGTTACATCACTGGGCTCCCATGTAGTCAACTGCAGTTCGAGTCCCAGATCCAGTGGCTTAAAACTCATGCCAGGTGCTGGTGTGTGTGTGTGCGTGTGCGTGTGTGTGTGTGTGTGTGTGTGTGTGCCCCAAATCCCAAAAAGAATAGAGAAGGGATTGTGGCATGGCCATCCTCCTTTGGTGGTGGCGGAGGGGGGTGATTTCTCACTTTCTGTCTCTCTGACTCCCTCTGTCTCTGCTAAGCGCACATGCTCTGTAGCAAAAATCTCTTTAAAAAAAAAAAATATAGGACATCCAGCACACCGTTTATTTTCACTTGTACCTGAGTTTACTATGACACATTCTTCTTTTGGAAAAGTTTTGATTTGAATCAAAATAGGAAGAAAAGCAGAGATTTAAAAGTTTTGGTAAGTTATATAAGAATATGTAATTTATTTTGGGTAATAAGCAAGTCTGTTCAAGCATCTTAAATGTTTTTTGCTTGCATTTACAATTTTTCATACTAAATGTATTAACTAAACTATGGTATGATATCACATTGTTGATGAGCTGTGGTCAAGTCTCGCCCTTAAATACTTCACAAGGCAAGTTGGTTGACTATTAAAAGTAATATTATAGGGACCAGCAGATGGCATAATGGTTATGTCGTTGGACTCCTATGTAGTCGACTGTGGTTCAAGTCTTGGACCCAGAGGCTTAAAACTCACACCAGGTGTGTTTGCACGCACATGTATGCCATGTATGCCCAAAATCTCAAGGGGAGAATGGAGAAGATACTGCAGTGTGAACATCCCCCCAGGCCATGATTTCTTGCTTTTCTGTCTCTCTGTCTCTACATCTCTCCAAGCTCACACACCCTATAGCAAAAATCTCTTTTAAAAAAAGTAATATTATATTGTCCTTAGCAGCCTAGGCAATTGTCATGCTGATCAGTCTGTTTTCACTTAAAATGTGAATGAAAGTGTTTTAAAGATGCATTTATTCCTTCATTTTTGTTAGGTTAAGTGTATTTAGAATTTGTGGACATAGAAAGTATGTGACATGCAGACTTGAATACGTATGTATTTATTCTTATCTAATGTTTTCTGAGAGTATGAAGTTAGCTCTGAGATACGGCTGTCCCTCTCGCCCTCACAAGCTGAGTGGTAGGTTGTAACATTGCTGTCAGTCTCATGGCTTTTCAGGGTCACCTCTCAAAACTGAATGTGGGGGACCAGCAGTTAGAGTAATGGCTATGTCGCTGGACTCCCATGTAGTTGACCGCGGTTCGCATCCCGGACCCGGTGGCTTAAAACTCACGCTGGGCGTGTGTGCGTGTGTGCCCAAGATCTCGAGAGGAGAATGGAGGAGAAGGGATTGCGGCGTGGCCATCCTCCCTGGGGGGTGATTTCTCACTTTCTGTCTCTCTGCTCTTTCTCTGTCTGGTGAGCGCACACGCTCTATAGCAAAAGCCTCTCCAAAGAATAAAAAAACTGAATGTGGCACTTAGAGGCACATAGTTTTCATAGGGAATGTAGGTCACATGTTGTATTGGCTCCCTTTAGCAAACACTGTTCCTCATGTGTTGTAAATTTCATTTTGTCTCCAAACTGCAGGTGGCATTGCAGACAGTGTAGCCAAGTGGATATTTAAACAGGACCTCAGCCCTGAAGTATTAAAACTGGCTAATAAAGACAGAGATGTAGAAAATCCAGACGAACCCAAAGAAGGTATTAACAGAGGTTTCCTTGAGGTGTCTGAGGTGGAGATGGACTTAGGAACCATACCAGGTGATACACAAATAAAGAGAAATATGAAATCCAGAGCAGAGAGATGTGGTCGAGCCTACACTGAGGAAATAATGACGTCTCTTTTGCCTTTCAGACTTGCTGTGTTTGGCCTATGAGCAGTTTCCTTGTAGCCTTGAGTTAGATGTGCTCCATACACATTGCTGCTGGGAGTACGTTGTTCAGTGGAATAAAGATCCAGAGGTAAGATTCTTGTTACCTCTTCTTGTGCTAAATCTCTATCTGTGCTCAGACTAGACACAAGTGGGGAATGTTTAATTAGATCATTTATTATAAACACTGGCTTTTCTCCTGTTGTAGTGTCTCCTAGAAGTGTGCTAGACTATTTTTTTTTTTTTTACTTTACCTCCTATAATCCTTGAATAAACCTATGAAGTATATCAGTGTCCCCACTTGTGAGAATAGAAAACTAGGGCTCAGAGAAGTTAAATTCCTTGCAATGGATACACTGCTAGATGTCAGGATTTTTTTGTTGTAGTTCTGTTTTGCTATAGGGTGCCTGCCCTTGCCAATGACAGAGAGAGGGAGGGAAGTGAGAAATCACTGCCAGGGGTGATGGCTATGCCACAGTCCCTTCACTTCCAGTCTCCTCTCAGGATTTTGGTTACACACAAACACATGCCTGGCATGATTTTCAAGCTGCCTGGGCCTGGGCATAAACCACACAGTTGGCCACATGGAATTCAGCCACCTTAATCTCCTTGACACCTGCTGGCCCCCTAAAATTCAGGGTTTAAGCATAGGTTGTTCTTTATATGAAGCCAGCATATTTTGTCCTCGTTATGTTGTGACAGATGTATTTTTTAATTCTTTTCTGAATTCCTATATGAGATGGCACCTACCTAACAGAATATTCTTAGTCTCTAGTCATCATGACAAATGTTGGAATGAAGATCCTGATGCCAACCTGTTATCTAATTCTTCATGATGTATTTTTTTGTTACTTCTCTTACATTTGTCCCAGAAGAACCATCAAAAAGCTGTGTTGAGCCCAGGGTCAACTCTAGTCTAGTGTGAGCCTTGTTCCTCTCCCAGCTCTTTGCTCCCGCATAATTTTCCATCACCATTGGTAGCCACCATCTCTCAGGGCATTCATGGTCTGGAAGTAAGTAGCATGATAGATAGCAAGAGGATTCCTAGCTTGAATTTGGAGCCTAGATAAGTTGCTCACTACTGTCTAGGTTTGGGCCAGTCACTAAACCTCGATTTTTTTTTTCATTTTGTTTTGAATAAAAATGTCAATATTTCAGGGTTGACACCAGGATGAAAAAAGATGTAAAAACTTATGATGGGGGACCAGCAGGTGGTGTGGTGGTTGGGGCTCCTGACACTCCCACATGGCTGACCACGGTTTGAGTCCTGGACCTGGTGGCTTGCTTTCTTGTTTTCTCCTTCCTTTGCTCTGTGTCTCTCTCTGGTCAGATTAAAAATAGTTGAATGAATGAGTGAAGTTAAATGGATAATTCTTAAAAATATATATATAATGGATATTCCCTTCTGCTAGTCAGTCCTTCAGTTAGGCCTCCTGGAAAATTATTTCTCTCAAGTCAAGGTCTTTCCTCTGTTGTCCTTGTGCAGACCATTCTCACAGATTAACTTATTCATACTGTAATACTGAAAGCAATGGTAGGCTGACCTGATAGCACTTCACAGAAGTAGGGTCCCACATGGCCAACCTAGGTTCAAGTTCTGGCCCTGTGTACCCGGGATCTTGACAGGATAGAAAGTTGAAAAAGGATCAGTGTGACCAGGTGTCCTTGGGGGTGCTATCTCTCTCCTTCTCCCTCTCTTTCTCTTTTGTGTGCACATGCATGACTCCTCTGGCATAAAGATAGAATAGAATAGAATATTCTGCCTTCTGCCAAAAAAAAGAAAATGTTAGGATCAGCAGATGGTGTAATGTTTACATCGTTGGACTCCCATGTAGTCAACCGTGGTTCGAGTCCCAGACCCAGCAACTTAAAACTCACGCCAGGCATGTGTGCGTGCATACCCAAAGTCCCAAGAGGAGAATGGAGGAGAAGGGATTGAGGCATGGCCATCCTCCCTGAGGGGCTGATTTCTCACATTCTGTTTCTTTGTCTCTCTCTGTCTCCGGTGGCCACGTGCACCCTATAGCAAAAATCTCTCTAAAAAGAAAAGAAGATGTTCTTTAAAATACAATCCCTTACATATTAAAGGAACACACTAAAAAGAAAGTGATTTTGGAAGGGAATGGATAGTCTTTGATCAATTAAACCTTAACCAAAAAGTGTTTATAGGACAGGAGATCTTCTTTCTTTTTTTTTTTTTAAAGAAATATTTTTTATTTACCTTTATTTATTTATTTTAATTTGACTAGTAAGGGACAGAGAGAGAGAGAGAGAGGGAGAGCACAAACTGCCAGGTCCAGGACTTGAACCACAGTTGGCCATGTGGGAGTCCAGCATCCTCAACCACCACACCACCTGCTGGCCCCGGGACAGGGGATCTTCTGAATGCCCTTTAAAACATCCTCTTCAGTTGACTGCTCTATTATTTACCCTGAATGATAATCGTGTTTACACTCACTACTTAGATGGGATAATTTTCCTTCCCAAGAAAAAAGGAAGAATGAGCCAGCTCTGTGAGGCTGACCCATGTGGAAAGGTTCTGGGTTCATGTCTGAGACCTCCCAGAACATGCCAGGCAGTGGATCATGGTGTGAAGACCCTTTTGAGGGTGCCTGTCTGTCTCTCTTTCTATGTTTCTTGCTTACAGGAAAAAAAAATCTTTATAAAAAGAAAAAGGAATGTTAGAACTAGAACAAGGATTTAATTTCTTATATCCGAATGAATGAATTTCAGTGCCAAGTCTAAGAAAGTGACATTTAAGAAGAATATTCTGTGGCATGTATGTATAAAGGAAAGGCAGCTTGCAGAGTGGGCATGGTACGGACTAAGCTCCTGCAACCACTTACCACAGTAATAATCAGCACAGAGCTTGTTATGACCTCTGGGAATGCTTCTGAACTCTGTCTCAATTTTCTCTTGAAATGAAGGCCATAATAGCAGTCACTTCAAAAGGTTATAACAGTTCAGAGAGAAATGCATGCATAGTACCTGGCATTTTTGTTTTCTATTTTTATTTATTTATTTTTTTAGAGAGAGAAATTTTTGTTATAGGGCACATACATCGCTAGAGAGACAGAAAGTAAGAAATCACTCCCCCAGGGAGGACAATCATGCCGCAGTCCCTTCTCCTCCATTATCCTCTCAGGATTTTGGGTACACATACACATGCAGCTGGCGTGAGTTTTAAGCCATCAGATCCTGAACTTGAACCACAGTCGACTATATAGGAATCCAGTGACGTAACCATTATGCCATCTGCTGGTCCCAAGTACCTGGCATTTTTCATTAGTGTTATCACTAATTAGAATTACCATTTGTTTAGTGTTATTTTTAGAATTGCCTACATTTAAAATAAGTGGCTGTTTTTGTTTGTTTTTCCTATTAAATACTAATTGTCTTGTCTCATCTCAACTGCACAGTTTCACATGCACAACTCTATATATACAAAATTACATATATTTTTTATATACAAAATTATATATCAAAGATCTGAATAATTTCATCAGTATTATATACTGGGCTTTAATATGTAAAGTTCCTAGATATAAAGAATTAAATTTCAAACTTCCCCTCTGACAGTTCATATTTCCTTTCCTGCTTTAATTTTTTATCGATGGGACTTATCACTAATATCCTAAATAAGGTGATGTCTAAGTTCATGGAAAGTACAAGTTTATTTTGAAGCAAAAAAAAAAATGTTGAACTCTATATGTTTTTTTTTATTATGCATTTTCTATTAACTTTTTTGTAGGCCCTTTATACACTGTTGCCCTTCATATAGGTGACTTACCATGTTTATTGTGTAGTGTCCTTACTTGAATGTAACCTTAGTGAAGGCAAAGATTTAGGTCTGTTTTGTTCATTATAACATCCTTGCTGCTCCAAATAGTGCTTGGCACATAGTAGATAATAAATATTTGTTGAAGAATGAATTAATGAATGAAATGTATTTGCAAAAAGAAACTCATTGCTTTCAATTTGTGTGAAATTCTTTGGAGAAACCACTGTTATTTTCCATGGCAAATTTAAGTCCAGATGTTAGTGTATATGACCTAGGAGTTTCTAGGAATTAATAATTATATAGGTAATGTGAATTTAAAAGGGATGATTGAAGTTATCATATGAAAAGTTATATTTTTACCTAATAATTTCACATTTTTATTGCAGCATTTTTAGATAGCGTTATGTAGAAATTTAAGAATTTTTCATTGGGATTTGAAAGACCTATTAAATGACACTCTTGCTTTTTCTCTTTCTCTTTTTCCTCCATATATGTAAGGAAGCACGGTTTTTTGTTAGGTCAATAGAACACTTGAAGCACATTCTTAATGCACATATTCAGAACGGTAAGTAAGCATATGTTAAAAATATTACTGATTGATTCAGAAGATGCATCTTAAATTTTCATTTGCTTGTCCTGCCACATAACGTATCACTGTGTATGGCTGTATACAAAGTACTGGCTATTTTAACCTTTTGGAAAATGCTATTCAGAAAGGGGAAAGGGGACTACTGGTAGTAATTGTCACCTTTCTGTCATCCAAGCCAACTGCTGAAGTTAGGAGTCACACTGTGTATGAATTGAATCCTTCTTTACTTCATCAGTGGAGAAGAAAAAAAGAATGAACTTTTGTGGACTGTAACTCTTCCAGAAGAAGCTAGGATGTCAAAAGCCCAATAGGACTAGACTTTAGACACTATCTTGTACTTCATTTAGTGCAAATATTCTCCATGAATTCTTGTCAGTGAAGACTGCTGATGTCTCCTTGAAACAAATGTTATAAATCATTGTTTTGTAAACAGATTCCTGGTTCTATTTAATAGATATATGCTTTTACTCTAAGAATTGAAGAGATCAGGACTAAGCTAGTTAACTCTAGAAGGTGGTAAGACTAGGTGTTGGGTGGATGAGGAAAGGCATCCCCTTAGGTCTATGTGATAAACTTCTGGAGAAGCTACTTATTTCCTCTTCAGCTGGATCACATTCTTGTAGGTGGTCTGCAGTCAAATTGCAGAAATTATAAAATATCCTATTTTATATGATGCAAGCTTGAAAATGATTTTATTCATCTCTCAAATTGTACTTTCTTCTAAAGGAAAAAGAAGATGTGCGGTGACTCATTTGTAAAACGTGGTGTCTAGATTATTCTCATCTTCCTGATAAAATTAGGTTACCACTAACTTTAGGCTAATATCTCTTCAAGTTAGGCCTTTACCAGTTCGTATAACAAGTAAGCCTCCTGGCTTCTTCACAGGCTTTGAAGGACCTTGCTCTTAGATCCAGATTCAGCTACATAAATAACAATTAGAACATGTAAAATGCTTTGTTTATACTACCTAATAGCCCTTTCTGAAATTTAATTTTAATGCCACAGCCTGTTGAATATAGAAGTATAATATGCAGTAAAGCCCAGGATTTTATAAACTTGTTTTATATAACATTTTAATTGATGGTAACACATGAAAAAAAAGTCAGTTGCTAGCTTTGGGATTGTTTCTAATATATGACTGTCATAAATACAGACATTCTCAACAGTCTCTGAGAAATCCTTCATATTCACATCTCTTAGGTATACATAGAGCTGTAGAAGTGTTAGCTGATAAGGGTATATATGTACTGAGCTGTACTAGATACTGTCACACAATTTTCCAAGTGATTTTACAACTTAACCCACCAGCTATGTGTGTCTGTTTCATTTCTTCAATGTTCTCGCAACACTTGGCATTGTCATTAAAAAAATTTTTTAGGGACTGGCAGATGGTGTAATGGTTACATTACTAGACTCTCACATAGTTGACCGCATTTCGAATCCCGGACCCTGGAACTTCAAACTCACATAGGGCATATGTGCCCAAAATCCCAAAAGGAGACTGGAGAAGAAGGGATTGTAGCATGGCCGTTCTCCCTGGGGGATATGATTTCTTGCTATCTCTCTGTCTCTGCCTCTCTGGTGAACCCACATGCCTGATAGCAAAAATCTCTGTAAAAAATTTTTTGTTTAGTTTTTCTGTTGGTTGTGTAATGTTATCTTATTGTTGTTTCATATTTTTCTTATAATTAGTGATGCTACTCTTTTATTATGCTTACTGGCCATTTTGATCTATTCTTATATGGCCAAGTCTGACTTTTAATTCATCAATCTCATAAATGTTATGTGAAATGGTAAGTAATGATATCTAAATAAATAACCTAAGGTTTCATAAACTTAAGGAAGACAGTGGATTGTTATGTATGTCAAAAGTAAGATTATAAAAAAGTGTCCTACTTCCTCCTTTCCTTGTGCTCGCTATTTAGGCATTGCGCTGATGATGTGGAATACCTTCTTAGTGAAGAGGTTTTCTGCTGCCACATACTTGATGGATAAGGTAAGCTTATTTTAAATTTTATGTACTGAATTCTTATTTATTTGCTTCCCTTAATTGACTAATATCAGATTGTTCACATTGGGTCTTGTTAGACTAATTTTTATTTGGTATTACATTTTACTCATGTTCAATTAAATGTAACTCCTAGTACTAGCATTTTAATAACTCTAAAAAGAGTGCTAAATTCTCAGGAAGAGAATAGTATACTGTAAAAGCCTCTTAACCAAGGAGATTAAGAATGGTGGTTGAAGGGCTGGCAAGTGGCGTGAGGCCCCTGACTCTCACACAGGCAACTGCATTTCAAGTCCTGGACCTAGTGGCGTGCTATCTACTGGTAAGCACATGTGTCCTATAGCAAATTAAATAATAATAATAATAAATAAATAGCCTTTTTTTTTAAAAAAAAAAATGTGTAGTGGTTGATTCAAACAAGAATTTGGATTTTTAGGGACCAGCAGTTAGCGTAATGGCTATGTTGCTGGACTCCCATGTAGTCGACCGTGTTTCGCGTCCTAGAACCGGTGGCTTGAAACTCACACCGAGCACATGTGTGTGTGTGCCCAAGATCCCGAGAGGAGTACGGAGGAGAAGGGATTGCGGCGTGGCCATCCCCCTGGGGCGTGATTTCTCGCTTTCTGTCTCTCTTTCTCTGTCTGGCGAGCGCACGCACCGTATAGCAAAAAAACCTCTCTTAAAGAAAAAAAAGAATTTGGATTTTTAAAATATTTTTCAATTTGCAAGGGTGTGTGCACTTGCTGCAGAAAGATACTGAGAGAAAGCGAGAAAACACATCCGCTTCGAGGGGGGTTGACCTTACTGCAGTCTCTTCATTCTCTCAGGGTCTTGGTTGTGCACACACACACACTTAACATGTCTTTCAAGTCACTGAGTCTAGGACTTGAACAATATAGCTGGCCATATGGGATACAGCTGTTTCAACCACCATGCCAACTGGCTGCCCCAGGATTTGCATTTTATTTTAACTTAAAACATATAAATATACAAAGGGACTTCAGAAAGTTTGTAGAGAAATGGAATTATTGTATGAGTTTACTTGGGTGCAAAAAAAAATTTGAAATTCATGCCTAGTTCTTTCATAATTTTCTGTGAACTTTTTGAAGGCCTCTTGTATACTTTATCACCAGTCTTTGGCTATAGGGCCAAGATAGTTTCTTTGACTGGACTTGGATGTAATGCGGGTTTGTTTTTGGTTTGGTTTGGTTTGGTTTGGTTTTCCCAGAAACCTCACCCGTAATATATTACCTATAATTTCTTGATCTTATTTCTCCAAAGCTGTGATGCAGTCTAAGTGCAACCTCTACATTTTATGACTCATCTTTTTTAAAATTCATATTTCATCAGTTATTTAATTATATAACTACAATGGCATGTACAACGAGCATGAGTAGATAAGGGAACAAACTTAACATGTGAGCATAAAACTTACGCTGAGTGCAGGAAAGTCTTTTTGAGGTGGGAATATAATTCCTATCTAATTTAGAGTGCTTTTCCTTCTTTCTGACCACTGTGTGTCTTTATCAACAAGCAACGTTTTAACTCTTCATTAGTGGCCTTCAGATTGACTCTGGGCTTTAAGGCAATACTGTTATTTGTCCCTGCACAAGTGAGGGCCAAATTTCTAGCGAATTTTTTCTTATTTAATAGTTAAAAATATATCACTTACTTTTGAAAGGGTTATTTGTGAGCCCAGTGTGGTATATTTTTTCTTATATTTTTTTAGTTCCACCACAAAATTAATTACATCTACTGTTAGTAGAACCAACAATTAAATAATGAAAGATTGCCCCATTTATTTATAGACATACTTACAGGGTTTATGTTTGATTAGTTTTTACTTTCTATACCATAGTAATACCTTTATATTTAAACTATTAAATATTATAACATTTTGTGTCCTTTTGTCTTAGGTTGGAAAATCACCAAAGGACAGGTTATGCCGAAGGGTAAGTGAATCTCTCTTAAGTAGGAGTATAGTTATTAATCCTACACTTCATAGAGTACCTTATTATCTCTAGGTGTGAACTTTGCCTTGTACCATATTTTTTTTTTTTGGAGAGATTTTCACTGTAGGGCGCGTGCGCTCGCCAGACAGACAGAGAGAGACATAGAGACAGAAAGCGAGAAATCACCCCCCAGGGGGATGGTCACGCCGCAATCCCTTCTCCTCCATTCTCCTCTCGGGATCTTGGGCACGCACGCACACGCGCCCGGCGTGAGTTTTAAGCCACCGGGTCCGGGACACGAACCGCGGTCAACTACGTGGGAGTCCAGCGACATAGCCATTACGCTAACTGCTGGTTCCCGCCTTGTACCATATTGATTGCGTATCAGGAGATGAGAAAAGTGAAAAGAGAATACTATATTAAGGAAACTACTCATGAACTAAAGACAATCTTATTTTACCTTTTCAGATTGTTATATAGCACGTTTAAACTAAGTTTTTTGTTTGTTGATATGTGTTTTTTTTTTTTGGAGAGGTTTTTGCTATAGGGCGCGTGTGCTCGCCTGACAGACAGAGAGAGACAGAGAGACAGAAAGCGAGAAATCACCCCCGAGGGGGGATGGGCCACACTGCAATCCCTTCTCCTCCGTTCTCCTCTCGGGATCTTGGGCACGCACACACATGCGTCCGGCGAGAGTTTTAAGCCTCCAGGTCCAGGAAGCAAACCGCAGTCAACTACATGGGATTCCAGCGACATAGCCATTATGCCAGCTGCTGGTCCCTTAACTAAGTTTTTATAAAATATGTTTGATTTTCGACTGTGGGCAGGAGGATAATATGCTACCATTGCTGCATGTTTTTGCTCTACTTCAGATTAGAAATTCCCAACATCAAATAGAGGCAGATTCTTATGAGCAGTGAATTTTATCTACCTGTATGTAATAGCCATTGTTCCAATACCTTAGTCTTAAATATTCCAATCCATGGACACTGGACTTGTATTTGAGACCAGTGATTAATAGTTCTTCAAGAACTTTTAAATGTCTTTATTTACATTTTTTTAATTTAGAGATATTTACTGTATGGTGTGTGCACTTGCTGGAGAGAGAGAGACAGAAAGATAGAAAGTAAGGACTCACCCCCCATGGGAGGATGGCCATGCTGCAATCCCTTCTCCTCCATTCTCCTTTCATGATTTTGGGCACACATGCACATGTGTCCAGTGTGAATTTTAAGCTACCAAGTCTGGGACTCAAACCATGTTCAAGAATGTGGGAGTCCAGCAACATAACTATTATGCCATCTGCTAGAACCTTTATTACAATATTGTAAGAAATGTTTGGACATATAAATTGAGTTGTTACAGGTCCTCAATACTGAAAAAAAAAAAAAATCACCATTGTTGAAGAATAGTTCTAGTGTTTGGTGTGTTGTTTGTTTCTGTTTAAGACAGGATCTTGCTGTTACAATCGTCTTGCCTCAGCCTCCCAGCTGGGAAAATAGGCATGTACTACCAAACCTGGCTTTTTTTCTTTTATTTTTTAAAGCTTCTTTCTTTCCTTCCTCCATGAGCAAGAAGAGACAGAAAAAGACAGACAGAAGATCTTACTTACCCAGTAGAGTACACATGCCACACTCCACCTCAGCTTTAGCCAGCTGCAGATTATGGACGTATACATGCCTGCCATATTCAGGGAGATCCCCAGATGCAAACCTGGAAGCATCACACATGGGTCAGTCTTGCAGAGAGAGTATTTTGTTACCACTGCACCACTATCTGGCCCCTGGCTCCTTTTTTAGATGGGGTCTCACGATGTTGCCCAGGCCAGCCTTGAATCATGATCTTACTAGCTTAACCTCCCTGAATTGCTGGGATTACAGAGACAGAAATTAGGCCAAGAGTTGATCCTGAGTCTTCTGTGTTTACAGTGGTTGTATGAATAGAGTTATATATGTGTGTGTATGCACGTGCACACTTTGAATTATCTTGTTTGAGGTTGTGAGGAATTTATTGGTTGTTGACATAAAAATGATTGTACATGAATGCAGTAGCCCTTAGACATGTTCTTTATGGGAGTCAGCAGAAACCATCCATTGCCTGCAGCATGAGTCTGATCTTTAGTTCTCAAACTTGAGGATTTTAGTTTGGTTCAGTGGGTTCATAGTCCTTAAAAGGCACACTGGAGGGGAAAAAAAGACACTCTGAAACCAGACTGGGCCATTTTCTTAGTATTTTTCTGGTTGACTCATGCATCTTCCCATGCATCATGATTACTTGACCATCAAATGCCTTAGCAAGCTGAACAGTGAGCATGGGAGTGCCATTGATGGTAACCAATGAAAGTACGTCTTTCCAATACAAAAAGAACGCTAATTTTTTAAAGTTGATAAAAGAAGTTTTGAAAGCCTGATTTTTGAATTGATCAACTCTAAAGAATCTCAAGGAAGGAATTTAAACATGCCAACGCTTTGACTTTCAAACTCTTACACATCTACTCAGTGTAAACAGTTGGTTAAACAGGGGTTGGCAGGTGGCATGATGGTTAAGGTGGCTGGACCTGCACATGGCTGACTGCTGTTTGAATCCCAAACCTGGCACCTTGCTTTCTCACTTTCCCTCTTTCTCTCTCTCTCTCTTTCATCAACTTTAAAAATAATAAAATAAAATAATGCAATGAATAAAATTTTTAAAAACTGTTTTTAAGTTGGCTAAACAAATGTGTTGTATTATTTTATCTTTCTGATAATAACTAGCAGTTTTGCTACAGGGGCTAATTATATTCCTTTTTAAAAACAGGACGTGGGAATGAGTGACACAGCAATGACATCTTTCCTTGGCTCCTGTTTGGATCTCCTGCAGACTTTAATGGAGGTAAAAGAGGTGTCTTTTCCATTTGAACTGCTCCTAAGAATTAAATATTCTAAAAATCATTGGACATGAGAAAGGACTCTTATAATGAGATTGTTTTTCATTTATCCATTTGTAAATTTTGATTTAAACCTAAAAAACAGCAATGTTTTATGAAGTTCTTAATAGACTTTTTAAAAATTTGGGTTGGGGTACAGAATGTGGATTTCTACTTTGCTCCTGACAAACTCATTAGGATATTTGTGAGCTGTCGTTTCTCTGATTCTGAGCGCGGCCCTCCATTCTCACAACCCTTAGGCAGATATCAGCAAGGATGAAATGCAGATGCCCGTCCTGGATACGGAGGATGCTTGGCTCTCTGTGGAAGGGCCCATCTCCATAGTGGAACTGGCCCTTGAACAGAAGCACATCCACTACCCACTGGTGGAGCACCATTCCGTCCTGTGCTCCATCTTGTATGCAATCATGAGGTTTTCTCTGAAGACCGTGAAGCCACTTTCACTTTTCGATAGTAAGGTATGTACTTCAAAAGATTCCAGAGCTACTTGAGAGTTGTGGGTTTAGCAGGCACATAAATGTTCTTACTTGTTACAAATTGTTCAGTACTTAGGTGACTTTTATGGAGTAATTGTGGGATTTAAGTTTGATTATTCCTCACCTGATTCGGATTAACCTTCTTACATACTGGTGTCCCTCAGTTTCTGTCCTCTCAACTGCCTGCCCTTGTCATTCTACATATTCTTCCTGGACAAACTCATTCTCTCCCTTCTGTATATCTCTGCCCTGTTACCAGAGTTTGAGACATAGATTTCTATTGAATATTTCTTTGAATGCTCTGTGGGACTTCAATACCTGCAAACCCTCATCCTCATCCTCTCCCTGACCTAAATTTGCTGTTCCTCCTGGATTATTTGACTTAGTTGATTAGTGATGCCATTATCTGTGCATGATTGCAAGTAAGAAACCTTGAGGCTATGAGGGTATCTGGCTCAGTTCTCTATTTTAAGCCTATTTACTTCATTGTAAATTAATTCTTGCTAAATTCTTTCTGATGACCCAAGGAATCTGTCCATCCTTCTCCATCACTATACCTTGAGTTCAGGCTTCGTTGTCTCTCCCTTGGCTATTATGATTGTCCCTTCTAATTACCCTGCTTCGGTTTCTCTTTCTCCCGTCTTATGCTATGAGAGCTATTTCCTTGGAACACAGGTCCCATCATACTAGTTTAAAACAGTGATGTCCAAAATGTAACAGGTGCCTCGGGAAGTCTGGTGATTCTCATGACTAGTGTTAACCTAGCTGGCAGACGATAGATGAGCTGTCATTGATAAGGTATGGAAGGTAAGTTAGAAAATATCTGGGATATTTTTCTTTTTTCCAGAAAAGAAACAGTAATTTGAGAAGGTGGAGGTCACTTGCCTACGTGAACAGTGTGGAAGCAGTGAGCCTGGGACTAGAGTCTGGGTCTTCCAGTTTTAACTAACTTAAGCTCTTTGTTCTGTATTACATTTCCTTCCAAGAAACTTGGGAAATCCCATTTTCCATCCCTGATACTCTGTTTTGACTTTTCACACATGTATCTTCTTATGCTTTTAAACAGTTCAAGTGTTTTCAAAGGATTTAGAGTATACTCTATGCATTAGTTATGTTACTGAATAACAAATTACCCCAAACTTAGAGGGTGAAAATGACAAAACATTTATTACCTCATGTTTTTTGTGGGTTAAGAATCTGGGTTCCCCTTATGTATGTCCCTCTGGTTTAAAGTCTCTCATGAGGCTCTATGCCCTACTCAGATAGGGTGATCCACTTTTAGGCATGATTGTTGGCAAGATTCGGATCTTTGCTACATGTGCCCCTCCAGAGGGCAGCTGTTTCCTCCAGAGTGAGAGTGAAAGCACCCAAGGCAGAAGCCACAGTCCTTTTGGAACCTAATCTTGGAATTGATAAACTGTGACCTCTGGCAGCAGTCACCAGCCCACCTTAAAGGGGGAAGAGGATCATACAAGGAGAATCACTGAGGACCATTTTAAAGACTTCCTACATTGTTAGAAAAATTAAATGAATACAATCTTGTTGAAGAAAATAAAGATCTACCATGGGCTACTCCTGACAGAATGATTTCATTTTTTTTAATTGTCCCTTTACTTCTCCCTTATTAATCCATACTCATCATCTTGATCTCTTTCTCTTTCAGGGAAAAAATGCATTTTTCAAAGACCTAACTTCAATTCAGTTATTACCTAGTGGGGAAATGGATCCAACTTTTATTTCTGTACGACAACAGGTAAATTACAGTGATTGGATTTAGTTTTTGTTTCTTGGAAAAAAACCAGTAAAGCAAAAATCTGTTGAAAAGTTGGCATTTAAAAGGACAACTACTTTCAAGATAATTTTGAGAGCTAGTTTATCTTTAATGATGTGGTTTTTTTGATAATTAAGCAATTTTAATGGAAAAGCCACTCTAATTGACAGAAAACGATCAGTTACTTTGATTCAGGTATTTTTAATGAAATGTTCTAATGAGATATTGCTGTATCTTGTTCTCCATTCTCCATCTTCAAGTTCTTACTGAAAGTTGTTAGTGCAGCCGTCCAGACCCAACATTCCATGGCAAAGGACAAAGAGCCTTCAGACCAAGCAATGACTACACCTGCTGGGAAAGACCAAGACTGGCCAGTGCTAGCTGTGGATTTAGCCCATCACCTTCAAGTTAGCGAAGATGTCGTGAGGAGGCATTATGTGGGGGAACTCTACAACTATGGAGTTGACCACTTAGGAGAAGAGGTAATACGAACCTGCAGGTTGTAATCTGGCTCAGGTCATAAAAGTGATGGTTTGAGTACACAGTCAGTAAACTCTCTAATCAAGTTTGTGTTCCTTTTGTTAGAACTTTTAGGCACGAAAATAGAATACTTTTTTAAAAGTGTAATCAAATAAATTCCTGTAGGGTACCAAGCTTGTCCTGTGCACAGGGGTACAACAATAAGCAAAATAGACAAGCAGGAGCAGAAAAGTATGTTAAATTTTGTATCTGGTGTATTACTTTTCTTCATAAATCCTACAAAGAAAATAAACAGGAGCTACTACAATAGTCAGAGAAGACATTTGAGCTGAGTCCCCCAGGGTAAAAAGCAACCAGCTACTCAGAAAACTGCAGGAACAGTGGTAGAGAGAAATTACAAGTACAGAGCCCCCAAGTGGGGACTAGTGTGACTGGGTCCAGGACCAGAAGGGCCAGTGTAGCTGTACAAATATAGTAAGCAAAGCTCAAAGAAGGATGAGAGGAGGTAGGGAGCTTGGTGGGGCCAGGTCACAGACGGTCTTGGAGTCCAGGGTTAGCGTCAGTGTATTTACAGAAGCCATTAGAGTTTGAAACAGTCATACCACGATTTATTAGAATTCTCTTTCTTTGTCAAAAGCTTGAAAACAACTTGATACTATGACATTGTATAGTCATAGTGAACTGAAAAATTAGGTGATGAAAAAATAAGGTGGTGAGTTTAGGTTTAAATGCTGTATTGATCTAAATTATATTGGGTTGTCGGAACGTCCAGGTTTAAACGTCGCATTTAGATTATATTGGGTGTGTGCATTTTTGCATAGAAAAATACATCATGATTTTCCCACCATCCCAATACTCTGGTTATTTACACAACTACAGCTCAAAAATGACTTAGAATCACCAGTGACAAGCCCTTTCCTAGGATAAATGTTAGCTCTTACTATATTATTTCTCCCTGTTCATGTCTTCAGGCTATCCTACAGGTTCATGACAAAGAGGTCCTTGCCTCGCAGCTGCTGGTGTTGATAGGGCAAAGGCTGGCTCACGCACTCTTCCACACCCAGACAAAAGAAGGAATGGAGCTGCTTGCCAGGCTTCCGCCCACACTCTGCACATGGCTGAAAGCAATGGTATGTATGAAGAAATAAAATCAGGTAGAAGGCAGCTGGATGTTTGCTTAAATGTGTATTTTGTATGGGACCAGCAGTTAGCATAATGGCTATGTCGATGGACTCCCATGTGGTTGACCGCAGTTCGAGTCCTGGACCTGGAGGTTAAACTCACGCCAGGCATGTGTGCGTGTGTGCCCAAGATCCCAAGAGCAGAATGGAGGAAAAGGGATTGGGATGTGGCCATCCCCCCAGAGGGTGATTCTCATTTTCTGTCTCTCTGTTTCTCTCTTTCTGGCGAGTGCACGCGCCCTATAGCAAAAAAACTCTCAAAAAAAAAAAAAATGTGGATTCAGTAAGTTATAAAGAAATTTAAATCCTAAGTTTAGTTCCCCTAGTTCCCAATAAAGCATTTTTATTGGGAAATAACTGTTGTGATAACAGCTAAATCAGTGACAATTATTGTTAGTTGCATGTAACTAATGGAATATTCCTGTGTCTCACTTGCAGGACCCCCAGGATCTTCAAAACGCTGAAGTGCCAATTGCAACAACCGGCAAACTAGTAAATAAAGTAATTGAGCTTTTACCAGAAAAACATGGGCAGTATAGTCTAGCCTTACACCTCATTGAAGGTGTAGAAGCCATATCTATTCCTACTTTATGACACTTGTTTACTGAAGTCTAAAAACTGTGTGACTGTAACAAGAATTAGTGCATGGTTATTTTACACAGTAAGATCTGGAATTTTATCGGGGGGGGATATATCTTTTTTCTTTTGTAAAATAAGTAAAAAATATATATTACTTTTAAAAAGTGCCATCCTGGCTAAATTCCATTACTTTGGTTAAATAAGATAAAATATAAACAACTATCAATTATAATTACTAACACGGATGTTTTACTGTTTATTTCTTATTCAAACACTTAAGTAGCTTTATTGTTAAACTTTGCTACTTAAAATTGGTTATAATTTACAGACTATGTTCTTATTATAAGATTCTATATTTCATACCCAAAATGTTATTGTTGTAATTAAATTTAAATGTGTTCGTGTACAGTCCCCACCAGTAGAGAAACATCCAACTACCCCTTAATAAATGTTGAGAAAAGTTCTTTGTTCTCATGCTAATCCCACCCTGGGCTGCCACCTGGGAGTTCTGGACGCTCACAGGTTCCTTCCCCAGAGGTTCTGCTGTTGCCATCAGAAGGAAGAATGGGTTCAAGTTCCTCATACTCGTCAGAAAGAATATTAATAGAACCCTCAGCCTGTTCTATGCCAAAATGGAGAATCTGAGGTACAAACAATACAGCAAAATTAATTCTAAAGTAAGACAGGATTTGCTATTTTGTCAAGTTGCAAAGTTTTATCCTCATTCAGGTAATTGTAAAAAATGTATTATCTTGTAAAACTTATGTAAAAAAGGGGGGGGGCAAAGATATTAAAAATGTTAAGTCCTACTTTATTTTCCTTATAAGTGTTTAGAATTGTCTGCTTTGGGGATCTGGTAATGTTATCTGTCCTTGAGGACAGTAAGAAAAGAATGCTTAGTGATACTACAGTTTTAGAAACCTACCTCACAGCTGGGTCGGAAAGATTATATACAACTGATTTTGTACCTTATAGTGCCTAGAGCAGTCCAAGTGCTAAACAAATATTTACTGATTAAATCCAAGTTAGCCAAAACTCTGTATAAAGTGCTTTGAGCTCTGCAACGGCAAGTATTTATTATGGTGTATCTTTGGAATGTAGCCATACAGTGCAGTTATTGCTATGTCATGGATCACAATGGTTAATTGTAGTAACTCATTATGACACAGAAATTTGTTTCTTCACTTCTTTGTAGGAAGCAAACTGTCAATTGTGCAGAATTGAGTATGCTTTCAGAAATACAAAGAATGGCTGATGTTTGAGAATATTTCCAACGTGAAGTCTTAACTAAAAAGATCAAATCCAAACAAAAACTTAACTGGCTAAAACATAATAGTTAGTATTTAAGTTACTATCAAATTTTAAATCTTGAAAAATAAATTGGGAAGCTGTCTTGAGTAGCTGGGGTGGGGGCCTGTGACTCACCGAGGCACACACTGTAGTCAGCAGCCTGGGAAAGGGCCTTAAGCTAGTCCATCCTCCCAACCTCTGCTTGGTGTCCACCGTCATGGCCAGACACATGCTAGAATTCTTGCTTTAGAAACATGTCTAGCTTTATCTAGCTACTTGTTATATGTGTTCTAAGAGATTAGTTCTTCCTGTGATTTTCCTAAATACTCTGAAAGTAGTAAGAATTTAGAAAGCTGTCAAAGAAATTTGGAATTATAAGCTTTGTAAAGAGTAAATCCTCAATTCCACTATCACTTTTCTTGGCGGGGGGGTACATACTAAGCATTTTAGATAATAAAACTGGTTAAACCTACTCTGATAGGCATAACGAAATCTGAGGATTACTGAAATTAGTACACTGAAACATGGCTCAGAGAACCATAGCAAATCATTGAGGCTTTACATTTGTTATCCTAAAATTAGGCATTCATAGAATTTTAAAATCAAATTCTGAGTTGTATAGATAAGAGAAGCAGTTGAATATTTTAACAGCTACTTCATCAAGGGCTTTTATTAAATCTGATTCTGTAACAAGAGCCACAGAAAAGGATTTGTTTTATGCAGACAGGATGTTTTCTGAAACAAAGGGGTATGATGTACTCTGCAGTTGTTAATGGGACCCCAGTCACCAGTACTGCTGTCCTAAGTATATTCCCACTCCCCACACACCCTTCTTTATTAAAGGTACACAAGCATTTTTAAAACCTTGTTAAATCTATTGTATAATGATGGAGAAAAATAAAAGTGTTAAAATAATCATCTTCTACATTACAGGTTGTGTTTAGATGTAGTGCTAGAGGGGCCAGGATAAACGTAGATAAAGCAGTGTCTAGCTTTATCTACAACACCCTCCTAAGACACTTCACTTTCAGTAGAGAGAGAGAGAATTTCACCTTTATCATAAAAAGTTATCTAAGATGAAAATAAACCCTGTTACATTTAAGTTGCTTTTTAAACATAAGATTAACTGCAATTTAATATCACAGAAGACCAATTTAATAATGCTAATCTTACATTGACTATCGCTTCACTTGGAAGTTTTTGTGGCCCATTTCATTTATAAGAAACATATTTTTACAGTACTCTACGGCAACAGTGAAAACCCTCTTTCATCCTGAGAGGAATGAATTTGCTGTGCTTCTAAAAGTAGATTTCTGCTGAACAGAATTAGCCATCCTTAGAAAGGTTTTAATCTAATACTGAATTGTTTATAAAATGTTCTATTATTTATTGTAATGTATTGTAAGTAGAGAAATTCTGTATATACTGCTATTTTCTGTGTCTATTCATTGTTGTGAACTTATGTATATTAGTGAAATAAATTTTCAGCTTTCATGTTGTTTCCTTAACATTCACAAAGTATTAAGAGATTTCTTCCCCTCTGGAATGAACACATTTTGTCATTTTTTTTTTTCTCTAACTCAAAATAACTAGCTTAGTACTAGACAGAATAAAATGACTTTCTTTACTCCATAAAGAAAACACACCTTAGGACCAGGAGTTGGCGTAATGGCTATGTCGCTGGACTCCCACATAGTCGACCACAGTTTGAATCCCGGACCCAGTGGCTTAAACTCACGCCAGGTGTATGTGCATGCGTGCCCAAGATCTCAAGAGGAGAATGGAGAAGGGACTGTGGCGTGGCTATCTCCCCTGGGGGGGTGACTTAAGGCTTTCTGTTTCTCTCTGTCTTTCTGGTGAGCACACAATCCCTATAGCAAAAACCTCTCCAAAAAAGAAAACACACCTCTGCCATTTTCTTTCAAAACCACACACTTTTTTCACTTGATATTCGCAACATCGGTTTTCCAGAATGCCTTTATTTTCAGACATCATGGTACTTAAATATTGAGTCAAAACAATTTATAAAATATATTTTCTGCTCAGCCGTATTTGAAGGCAAGCACATTCAGTGTATGTTCTGAATAAGTCCATTATGGACATACATATATATAATATCTGCATGTATATATACATTATTCTTTCTTCAGTTACAGGAAATACCTCTTTTATGATTGTGATTTTGACCTTCATCCTACAATACTTATTCTTCCACCGTTAACCTAAATTTTGGATTTCTTTCCAGTGTTGAACACAGTCCATTAGACTCCTAGTCGGTAGTGTCAAGAGGGTTCTTGCTCAGAAAGCTATTGGCACCAGAGCACTATTTTCCACCCACGACCTCTGCACATCGGGGACAGAGTGTATCTGAAGATTCAGCTGTATACTTCCAACAACGAGGGCATTTTTCCTTGGTAGTTGGCATGACAATGACTTTATATGAAGACTCTTCACGAATATCCCCACCTGCAAAAGAAAAGTAAATGAAGAATATTTCTGACAGGCCATTCAGTTTTGGTATTACCATTTCTTACTTGGCTTAGCATGTGTCCCCTTTTCAAAGCTTTGTCTTTTGTGCACAGGTAAAGATTGCCAGATACTGCCCTGTTTGCTTCATTACAAAAAGAGCCAAGAGAATGGGATTGCCTCGCTTGACACCTGAGAGAGCTGAGGAATCGAGGCCCTGTTAGGTTGAGTAGTATATTTATTGGGTCATCAGAAAAGTCATGAGGCATTTTTTCTATGCAAAAATGACCCTACAACCCCATACTCAGGCAGAGCAGGCTCTGTAACTTACTCCAGGCAGTTCTGACAGATAATTCTGCCTTTTCAGCTTCATACTTGAGTAGGGATTTTAAGAAGCAAAATTACAGCGATAACTGCAGTGTCCCTATTCAGATCTTCTAGGTTTAGACAAAAGGAAACAAAACTTTCACCACTATTAATATTCTTAAAACCTTAGAATGATAAAAATATACTATTTTCTAGTCATTGTGCAAAAAATGTGCATTCACATTTTAAAAATTATTTTAACTTTATTTATTTATTTATTTTTAAAGTTTGACCAGAGAGGGACAGAGTGAGCGAGTGAGAGAGAGAGGGAAAGTGAGAAAGCAAATCACCAGGTCTGGGACTTGAACTGTGGTCAGTCATGTGGGAGTCCAGCGCACTTAACCACCACGCTATCTGCCAGCCCCACATTCACATTTTGAAAAGCAAATTAAGCCAGAATATTTAACACATGATCAGTGCTATCAAGTCTCAAATTTAAAGAGACTATAAATTAACTTTTCAGCTCTTGCTCTTACCTGAAAGCTATTATGAAATCACCTATCCCAAAATATCTGCTTATTATTCTGTTAACACTATTCTATCTCTACTTCCACCAATGTGGCTGAATCAGGTTGACAAAAAAGATCTCCTATAAAACAGAAATATCTACAAAATGCTTGCAAATGCTCACTATTTGAATGAGTTCCATAAAAGTTCTTCCTGAATCCCTCCTTAAGAATGGCTAGAGATGGGACCAGCAGTTGATGTAGTGGCTATATTGCTGGACTCCATGTAGTTGACCATGGATCGAATCCCAGACCTGGGGTTTAAACATGCCAGGCATGTGTGCGTGCATGCCCAAGATCCCGAGAGGAGAGTGGAGGAGAAGGGATTGCGGTCTGTCTCTCTGTCTTTCTGCTGAGCGCACATGCCCTATATAGCAAAAGCCTCTCCAAAAAAAAAAAAAAAAAAATTGCCTACAGGGCCAGCAGGTGGCATGGGAGTTACAGTACTAGACCTCCACATGATCAAACACAGTTCAAGTCCTGGACCTGGCAGCTTGCTTTCTCATTTTCTCTCTCTGTCTCACTCTACTTGAATTGACTAATAATGATAAAAATTAATGAAATAAATAATTCTTAAAAAAAATAAAGGATGGCTAGAGCTACTTCTGTAGCTTAGTGATTAAGAGAGCCAGATCCCACATGGCAGACCACATGCTGAATCTTGGCCCTGGCAGTTTGAAGAAAAACAGTGGGCATGTGTGCATGCGTGCCCCAAATATGGACAGGATGGAGAAATGGAGAAGGGATTAAGGTATAACCACAACCCATTGGGGGGGGTGATTTCTTCCCCACCCAATCTATCTGGTTAGCACACCCATGCTCTGGTAATTAAAAAGGAAAAAAATAAAAGGTTAAATAGTTTAATTGAAAGTATGTACAATAGTAGACTAATCTCACATACAATGACAATTCTCTGTTCAAATGACAGAAAGTAGACCTCCCTCCTTTAACCCAACCCTTTAAGAACTGGCTTAGAAACATGGCAATTGTTTATACTGTTTCCATGGAAAGATGTATTCCAAGTACATATCTACCTTTAGAATAAATCTGGTCCCCAGGACCAGCAGACGGTGTAATGGTTACATTGCTAGACAACCACATAGCTGACCGTGGTTGAAGTCTCAGACCTGGAGGCTTGAAACTTATACTGGGTGTATGTGCATGTGTGCCCAAAATCCCAAGAGGAGAATGAAGAAGAAGGGATTGTAGCTTGTGGCATAGCCATCTCCCCTGTGGGATGATTTCTCACTTTCTGTCTCTTTGGTTAGCATATGTGCCCTATCGCCCTATAGTAAAATCTCTCAAAAAAAAAAAAAAAGGAATAAATCTGGTCCCCTTAGAAAGTCAGCAATAATTTATATTCGATTCTGCAGGTACCACTTATTAATCTCACCTCCTTCTTACCTTCTAAATTGATGAGGAATGTCCCTTTAAGCTCAATTACATCTGCAGGTTTCTCTAGTGGTTCCTGAGCCAGTAAAGTTGACTGGGAAGCCATCATTAATTCATTCAACTGAGAGGTGCTGGATGTCTCTTCAGCTTGTAGCATCTGGAAGAAATGTGAAAGTCACTACTTACATTTTTTATCTTTTAAAAATAACAAGAGGACATGTTTCCTTGTGGGGAACTGGGGGGAAGGAAACACCCCTGGGGCAATGGTCACACCACAATCCCCTCTCCATTTCTCCCTTCTTCTGGGATTTTGGGCATGCATGCATACGTACCCACCATGTTTCTCAGGTCAGGACACAAACCACACAATCAGCCATGTGGGATCTAGCCCAAGACCACCATGGGCTGGCCCAACTACTTAACTACTTACACTTTTACCATAAGCTAAGGTTATAAAAATAGATACTACAAGGATCAGCAGGTGGTATGACAGGTAAGGCTCTGGATTCTCACGTGGCCAACCCCAGTGGAAGTCCCAGACCGGGCAGCTTGACTATCACACCAGGCATGTGTGAATGCTTGCCCAGAATCTCGAGAGGAAAGTGGAAGAGAAGGGACTGTGGCGGCCATTCCCTAATCATGGGGGGGATTTCTCACTTTCTTATCTCTCCAGAAAGCACATGCACCTTGTGGCAAAAATCATTAAAAAAAAACCCAGACACTTATAAATTCTTTTGTTTAGTGAGAAACCTTTGGTATAGTACATAGAGAGCTAGTAATATTAATCTATTCTTACTAGTATGAAAGGTTTTAACTAAACATTACACAATAGTATTTATTGAGAATACACTGTATATCAGGTATTTGACTTCACTCGATGCTAACTATCTCTTATTTCTACTTGTCACACACACACACAAACCTATATGGTGTTTATTATCCACTTTACAAATGAGAAAACAGGTAAAGAGTTTAAGTCGTTAACTTGCCTGTTTCTCAACCAATAAATGGTGGTGCTGCAATTCCAGCCCAGCTCTGCCGGCCTGCAATGCTTTACTGTTTCCCTGTACCGTGGTTCCTACAGTGGGAGAGGGGTTAAGATATCCTAACAAGGGCTTACGTTTAGCCTTGTAGACCAAAGTGGCAATCTGAACAATACGTGGACCCTTCCAAAGTTCACTACATTTATATGTCTGATAAGCAGTTTTATGTATTTCATTGTCATTTTGATCTTCAAAATGAGTTTGTGAGCTAATACCAACATTCCTTTTAATGAAAAGCCCACGTGAAATCAGGAGACTGAGATGAATTTAGCTTTAACAAGTTTGTGTTGTTAGTAATTGACAGAACCAGGACTCCACCTGACAACTACTTACATGATTCGTGATTCCTAATGAAGACACATTCATGTTTTTGAAAATCTCAAGTATTTTCTTTTAATATAAATGACCCAAAACAAGATGTATTCTTTCCAACTTAACTTAGAACAACTGAAGCTCAAAGGAAAACACAGTGTGTGGAAAACAGCCCAGGACTAAGCAGTGTGGCCTCAGCCAGGTCACGGTCACCAGGGACCTCAGTTTCCTTCTGTGTAAAATGAGTCAGTTTCCTGACTTCTAAAAAGTGAACATCATATCTATTGGGTCATTGGGAAATCAAGATGCATTTTTGAAAAGAAAAATAGGAAAATACATCATGACTTTCCTGACGACCCAGCATCTTATTCTTGTTATCAGCAATCTCATACCTATTAGGTACTTCCAGCCTCCACTCTTAATCACCTGCCAATCTGGTCAATTAACTCCTCACAATCCCAAGAAGAAAATCTAGATGGTCCTTTTAGAAATAAATGGAATGATATTTTGAGAAGCATGTCTCCAGGTCTTAGGAAATAAAGAAGGGAATCTTTTTTGGATTTGTGCTGAATCTGATCCAAGTGGACAAAATTCTCCGAAAACCAGACCCTTAATACAAAACTTCCAACTTTTGTGTATTCTAGTACTACTGCCACAGATTTATCACCTACCTTCTAAACGGGCCTGAGGGCTCTCATTTCAAACAGAACCTGGTCCTCCCTGTCCCTGTAAGTACAATGTGCATGTCATAGCTACAGAGTATGTGCTTCTAAGAGAAGGGAAAGGGCACAGTGAAATAGCAAATGAGAATCGGTGGTAGGATTAAGAGAGAAAAATCCTAATTTCGTAAAAAAAAATTAGGCATTTAAACATTTTTCCAGGTGAATCTGTACAATATTAGCCCATTTCAAGAGGTACACACTGCTGCATACCTCTATTATCTCAAAAAGCAGTCCAGGCTCGATCACAATGATAACCTCATACTCAGCTGCGTTTTTGCCCGGGATGCTTCCAAGAAAGGAATCTCGCATTGCACACGCACTCTCCACTGCTTCCTCCAGCCCGGGCTTCTTCCAGATAGAACTTGTGCTGATCCACCCGGTACGGAAAACACTCTTGGGTTCTTAAAAATAAAAAAGGAAATTGATTGACATACAGACTACACCATGTACGAAGGAGTCAACAAAAGTTCATAGAAAATGTTTATCGATGCATGGATTCCAGTTTTCGCACTAAACAAAACTCTCACTTTAGTTTCATTTTTTACACAAACTTTTGAAGTCTCCTTGTATAAAGCTCTGTTAAATATTTACCATCAACAGAAAATAAGAATTGTTATTTATTGTAATTACATGATGAATTATTATGGACCATCCTAAATATCTACAAAATATATCAGCACTGGGAAATACTTACATTTAAACAAAAGATAAAAGGCACAGTAGGATCTCAAAGGGAAAAAAAATGCCTCTTAGAAAAAAATAAAATAAAAATATCCTACTATTGGGCCAGCTGGTGGTGTGGTGGTAAAGGCTGCTAAATCCCACATGGTTGACTATGTGGTTTGAGTGCCAGATCTGATGGCTTGAAAAATATGAGGGGCATGTGTACATGTATGCCCAAAATCCCAAAAGGAGAAATAGAACAGAGATTATGGTGTGACACTGTCCCTCATGGGGAGGATGCTTTTTCACTTTTTCTTTCCATATTCCTCTCCTTCTCTGCCAAGTACAAGTTTCTTCTATCAAATTAAAAGGAACAAGAAATAAGGAAATGTCCTAACATTAAGATTCATTGTTCAGGGACCAGCAGTTAGTGTAATGGCTATGTCACTAAACTCCCATGTAATTGACCGTGGTTTGAGTCCCAGGCCCTGTAGCTTAAACTCACACCGGGCGTGTGTGCATGCGTGCCCAAGATCCTGAGAGGAGAATGGAGGAGAAGGGATTGCGGCGTGGCCATCCCCCATGGGGGGTGATTTCTCACTTTTTATCTCTCTGTCTCTCTCTGTCTTTCTGGTGAGTGCACGTGCCCTAGAGCAAAAACCTCTTAAAAAAAAAAAAAGATTCATTGTTCAGGGCCAGCAGAAGGCATAGTGGTTAAGGTGCTGGACTCCCACATGGTCAACCGGGGTTTGAGTTCCAGATCTGGCAATTTGCTTTCTCACTTTCCTTCTGTCTCTCCATCTCTCTGGTGAGCACACTGCCCTATAGCAAATTTAAAAATAATAATAATAAATAAAATTAAATAGTTCTTTTAAAATAAAAGAGTAATTGTCCTTGGGTAGTAAGAGTATGAGTGACTCTTCCTTCTCTTTCTAAACTTGTGTAGTTTCTAAATGTCCATAAGCTTTAGTATCATCAGAAAGAAAAACCTATCATATGAATTTTAACAAAACCTAGAATATATTTTGGAACCTTCTTAAAAGGTGCTTTCTCAAAATTGTCAAGCTACAATGACGTTTCAGAAAGCACCTCAGATGATGCTAAGAACTTTCTGATATTCACCCCACTCCTCTTTAAGTAGGTGCAGAAAATTACTCAATGACTAAGCCATATCATGTCACAAAGCATTTATTGCAGCCACGAAATATTCTTTATATGAAGTAGATAAAATCAGAAGTTAGGTGCCCCTCACTGGGAATCTTTCTCAGAGAACAAAGGAAGAATTCCTTACCTTTAAGATAAGGTATGTGTTGGAATACCTCTTCAGCCAGGTGAGGGAGAATGGGAGCGAAAGAACGAACTAATACATCCAAAATTTCAGCTAACGCAGTCTGACATGAGCGCCGTTTGGGATCGTTTTCTTTTTCACAATAAAGCCTGAAGAACAACGACGTACTCAGCAGTTGACAACACTATAAACTGTGATCACCAAGATAAGGTCTGCTTCCTATTCAGTTTATTCTTACAGTGGCTGATCCTATGGCTCCAAACACCTTGTGATTAAATTTAAACATTTTTTTCTTTCAAGTTTTTGATAACTTTTTTTTTTTTTAACTTTACAATTCCAGGTATAATCACAACCTTGAAAAATACTACTCTTTTCTCGGTTGTTTTTCAGATAGATGTCAGCTTTGAGTCTGGATTATTATGTTAAAGGGACAACTAATAAGTTAGTTGATGATACTTAAAATTTTACTCTCCACCCTCTACAATGTTATTTGTGTTTTAAGGAGAGGAAGGGGAGTTATAATCCCTTTGTGGAAGGTTCATGAGGTGAAGAAAGGTTGAGGCTGATATCTTTACTGGACTAGTCCACTATAAAGACTATACAGTTGGGCCAGCAGGTGGCATGGTGGTTAAGGTGGCTGGATCCCACAAGGTCGATCATGGTTCAAATCTTGGACACGGTGGTTTGCTTTCTCACTTTCTCTCTCTCTCTCTTTGTGTGTGTGTGTGTGTGTGTGTGTGTGTGTGTGTGTGTGCGCGTGTGTGCGTGTCTCTCTGGTAAAATTAGCATAAATAAAATTAAATAAATAATTATTTTTAAAAAAATCCCGAGAAGAGAACAGAGAAGGGATTACAAAAAGATAAAAAGTAAAAAGAAAAAAAAGGCAGTCACCTGCACATTACAGCTATAACTCAAGAGAGCATCAAGACCTCTTCTAAGAGGACGCTCTAATATTATACCATGCCATTGCAATTGCCCGTATACTTCCCTTTCTCCCACTGAAGATTTCCAAGAGCCTGTGCATAAGCACTAAGTCCAAGTACCTCTTATTAGCAGCTATTACTTACTGAACACTTACTTCACCAAACGCAGCACGAAGCACATAATTTACATTATCTCTTTTCATTTTCATAACCACATGATGAGGTATTCTCATCCAGATTTTACAGACGAAGAAACTGAGATTATAAGTTGTCCCAAATCATATAACTAGTAAATGGCAGAGCAAAAATATATAATCAGACTGACTCCAGAACCAAAGCTTAACGATTATACAATGCTGCCCGACTGACTCATCACTGTGTCCCAACTTTTGCCAAGAACATAAGAGACACAATCAATATCTGTTAGATGTTTTAAAATTTTGTCATACATACCTATCTTTGATTATGCTGAAATAAAAGTTAGAGAGTTCTCTGGTATAAAACGCTCGTAGTAGCCGAACAACTTTGCCAAAATCATACTGTCTGTATGCATCGGTAATCTAGGGAACAAAACCGAAATAAATTGGAAAGCTGGGATAAACATGAACATGCACGTCATCACTTCAAAATGTGTTCCTTTCAAAGATAAGTGCCAAAGGCAGACAAATACAAAACAGTCAAAAATGTAAGAACTCCCGAGTATCTTCCAAATACATTTCTGAATAAAAAAAAATTATACTCATAAAATACTGTCTATTTAATTCTGAAAAATATTCATCAAGGAATGAGGTTTTAAATGATGGATCACCTGTTTAAAACAGAAAAGAGTAGCCCATGGCCTGGTGGTTAAGGCAGCAGGATCCCACATAGCTGACCAACCAGTTCAAATCCTGGAACTGATGGACTGAAAGGGGATGGGGGGAGCACATGTGTGTTTAAGCCCAAAATTCCTAAGAGGGAGAAATGAAGGAGAAGGGATTGCAGCATGAACATTCCCCACCGAGGGGATGCTTTCTTGCTTTTCCTCTCTTTTTCTGTCTCTTTCTCTGGCAAGTACATGTGCCCTCTGGCAAAAAAAAAAAAAAAAAAAAAAACAGTAGATTTAACCAACAATACGCAAATATGCCCTTATTTATGCCTCATTATTATTTTATTTTGCTATAGGGCATGTATACTCACTGGAGAAAGAGAGAGAAGGGAGGGAGAGAGAGTGAGAAACTACCCCTGTAGGGGATGGCCAGGCCACCATCCCTTCTCTTCCATTCCGTTCTCAGGATTTGAGGCATGTATACACACATGCACAGTATGTTTTTCAAGCCACCAGGTAAGGGATTTGAACCTTGCAGTTGGCTATATGGGATCCTTCACACAACCTGGTGGCCGCAGCCTGATTTTTGATGTGGGCAAAAATTGGCATGAATACCACTAACTTAAGGGTACATTGAAACAAATACATTTCCAATGCAGAGAAAATGCAGATTATTTGTGTCTATATATAGATGAGCAGTATCTTTTTTTTTTCTCCTAGGTTTTTGCTAGAAGGTGTGTATACTCTCCAGAGAAAGCGACAGAGAGGGAAAGTGAGACATCACCCCCCACAATCCCTTCTCCTCCATTACCCTCTCAGGATTTTGGGAACACATACACACACACACACACACACGTGTGCCTGGCATGCCCCCTCCCAAGCCATCAGGTCTGAAACTTGCAGCACAGAGGGTATCAGCCATGTAGGATTCAGCACTTCAACCACCATGTCACCTGCTGTCCCCAAATGAGCAAATACCTTATGAGATATACAGAAATAGTTATTTCATTTACTTCTGTACTTCATTATAGAGGTACATCTGCTAATAAAGCATAACTCTATTCTTTCTTCCCGGGAGAAACAGCTCATTTTGAAAATAGCATTCATTCTGGTCTGAGAGCAAGGTGGAGCCTATTTTCCATGACATCCTTTAGTCTTTTGAAGACTAAAGAAAAGTATTATAAAACCTCATACCTTAGGCTGACCTAGGAACATATGGCATTTACCAAGTATAACTTTTCACAAGAGCACTGTAGTTCTCATTTCTATCAAGGTTTTTGTTCCACTCAGATGAAGCTAAAATTTTAACATATGATAGTACTAACATTTCTGTCTTCCAAAAGCTTATTTGTTCACGCTTACCTTGTTTGCTAAATCCTGAAGTAAATGCAGCATATACTGGTCTATGACATACATATTTTTAACAGGGATGGAATCTGTTTCTGGGTTGAAGCCAGCCACGTTTCCCAAAAGAAAGCGGAGTGTATTCCTAAGCTATTAATAGTGAGAAAAAAGTATGCAGTTAAAAAAATGAATGTGGTTTCAATTTTCACTGGAAAGTTATTTTATAACTCTAAGTTTTGTCCAACTCTTGTCACTTCTAACTGGGATATTTTTTTAAATTTATCATTCTTAAATAAGACTGTAAATGCAAGACAAAAAAAACAAAAACAAAAACAAAATCAACACCTATCATTCCAAGAGAAATAACCCAGTAAGAGAAATAACCAGTGGATTTTATGCCTTAAGGTTGAATCTTCATTTATTACTTTATAACCTTATGGCAAATCACCCTTTAGTAGACCAGTTTATTCACATATGTAGATGAGAATAATGTTATTTCATCTGCTTCATAGGTAAAAATAAACAGAATAAATGTTTACTCAGGTCACTGGGTACATAAAAAGCATTTACAATTAATATAATTTTATATCATATTATTATGATAAACTAATATTACACATGATCTTAATAAAATATAAAAATACATTATGTAAAATCATCACTATTACTACCAGTGTTTTTAAACAAATTAATACAGAATGTTCTCAAATGCTGACAACACATGGAGACCTCATTTTCATTCAGTTTTGCAGTGCCAAACAAAATGTGTCTCATTATTAAAAAATGATTAATAAAGCTTTTCCTGCAGGAATAGGGAGGAGAAAGACTTCACCTTGCTGATATCATCCCTGGCAGCGCTGAGCACCGACGGGCCAATGGTCACCTCCGTGAAGACGTTGGACTCAGCCACCCACCAGCGAAGGGTATCGGCACCGTAAGGAGGCTCTTTGCTCTGATCCTTTCCAATGACAAAGACGGTATCAACTGAATGGCTTTCAATTCCAAGGAGTTGAACAAATGTCTTAGGTGAAGTTTCTAATCAGAAACGTCTGGGCACAACGTAAATTAAACTGTACCGACATTATAATGAAGCCAGCTAACAATCCCAAATCAGATAGCATCTAAAAATAACAAAACTGGAAAAAAGAGAATATGCTCTCTTGTTCAATGCACAGGTGCAAATTCCTAATCTTCTTCCTGGTTAAGTCAGTATCTGTCTTTTACAGTTGACAGGCACAGAGTAGTACTGACGTCTCTATGATGGGGTTAGAGAAGAGTGGGAAGAGCTGCACCCCTTTCAGTGTTCCCTAGCAACTCTGCACAAAACAGTGAACAGGACTTCAGGAGGGCCTTAAAAACCCACAGGAATAAAATAAAAAACAAGTGATTTCTTTTATAAAAGCGACTCAAAAATAAATAAGTAACCCTCAATTATTAGCAACTCCACATTTCATGTACCTTAATGACTTGAAGTTAAGACTAGAATTTTCCAAAATAATGAACATACATTTAAATGTTGCACTCTCAAATTTTTTCTTTTATCATTTCCACTTAACTGGAATTATAGTTTACATATTTTAAAAGCTCAGATGATTAAAAATAGTCTGGCTCAGGGCCTACCTGGAGAGTCAGACCTGAAATGTGTCAAAAGGGCTATCAGTTCTGGACCTTACTATTTTCATGAAAATCACATACTGTTTAAGAAGCTAGATTTAAAACATAATAAAGCATCTTCTACTAACATAACAGCCAGTTTTTGATTTTCACATTGAAGTGAAATATTAAGGTGTTTTTGCAAACCAATTTAAGAGTCTTAAAAATAAAATGAATTTTTAGGGAGCCACCTACTTTTCCTCCATTGATGACAACATCAGGATTAATGACATTCCCAAGAGACTTGGACATCTTTTCTCCCTTTTCTCCCAGAGTAAATCCATGAACAACCACTGTCCTAAGAAGACAAAGCAGTTATTTTAATAATAGACACAATTATAATTATCATTTTGAAGATGACTTATAGCTTGAAAAGAGTATCTTAATTTGACACAAAAAGAGGATTTTTCTGGGGCCAGTCTGTGGCATGGTGGTTAAGGCAACTGGTTCCCACATGGTCGAATACATGATTTGAGTCCCAGACACAGAGGTTTGAAAAATATGCTGGGTACATGTGCATGTGTGCCCAAAATCCTTAGAGGAGGGAGAAATGGAGAAGGGACAGCATGTGACCATTAACCATGGTCATTCAGAAGTAACTTCTCTTACTTTCTCTCCCTCCCTCCTTCCTTCTCTCACTCTCTCTGTTCAGCAAGCACACAAACCCTTTGGCAAAACTTTAAATAAATAAAAAATAAAAATAAAAACAAAAGAAACCCTAACTGAGTAAAATTCACTCAAGGACTGTTTCAGTTAACTGCCACTGCAGATATCACAAACAGAAGACTATTTGCGCTCAGGCTGTTTTCTCTCGGCCTAGACTATCCTCCTAGCTAAGTCTTCCTGCTGTTCAGGATCTAGCGCTACGAGGGTTCCTCCAACTACTACAGTCAATGCTGAGTTTTTTCTTTTAGGGCTTATGGTCTGTGTCAGAGTGACAACATTCCTCTGTACTGTGGTCTCTTTTCTTGCTCTCTTTTGTTAACTTCAAATTATTTCTCTAATGGGAAACTGCCTGCAGGTGACTGTAAGCACTTAAGGGTGGTGCTTTATCACTTCAGTGTTACTCAGCATAGTGCCTCGGGAATGGGCAAGCACTCAGGAGAGGTACTCAGAGCATGGACATCAGAAATAGATACTTACTTAAAAGGTGCTTTTCCCCTGGCTGCCACGCTGGTTAGCAAGGAAGACTGAAACCAGCCCCCAAGCTGGTCTTTTCCTTCCAGGTACAAATCTGCTCTTTGGTCACTACCTTATAAATGAATATTATTAAAAAAGAAAGTGAATAAAACAGGAAAACAAAAATGAGTGTGTATCAAAATATCAAAATAATAAAAGTAATCATGTTATTTATTTCTTGTGTTATGCTCTACCAAGTGGTTAGACTTCATTCACTTGAGCTGTACCTGCATGGCCACTTCAGGAGCTGAGTCATAATAATTCTCAACATCATTATTTCCAGTTAAACCTTTTATGAAAATAAACTAACTTTATTAATTCAACAAACACTTACTGAGCACCTAACCACTATATGTTAATTCATTTAATTCTCATAGCTAATTAAAGTAGGTATTATTCTTTTTTTCTTAATTGCCAAAGGACATGTGAGCTCATGAGAGAGAGAGAGAGAGCGAGAGAGAGAGAGAGCGCCCTCCAGTGGGATGTGGCCACATGGCAATCCTTTTTCCTCCATTCTTCCCATAAGGATTTTGGGCATACTGCATATATGCCTGGCATGTTTTTCAAGCTGCCAGAGCCAGAATTCAATCTGCAGTCATTGCATGGGATCTGGATCTTAATGCAAGCACCTAACCTGAGTTATGGGGTTGGCCCAAAGTAGGTATTATCCCCATTTCACAAATGAGGAAAGTGAGACACAGTTTTAGAACTTGCCCAAGTTTATATAAATAGTATGCAGAATTAGATTCTAAACCTAAATAATCTGGTACCAGAATATAAACTTTTTTTTTTCAATTTTACTTATTCATTCATTTATTTTAATACTGCTGAGATCATCAACATCCAGCCTGAATGCCCAGGAGAGAATTTGAGATTGCTGAGCTCGATCCAGGATAAGGGACTGCAGGGCCAGCAGCTGTGCAGTGCCCCTTCTCGTTTCTCATGCTCATGGCTGGTACCTTCTAGATTCCTCTCAAGGAGTTTGCATTTCATTATTCTTTTCAAGAAACCCACATTTTGGTTTTCTTGATTCTCCATAACTATTTCTTTTTGTGAAAAAAAAAAAGAAAAGATTTATTTATTTTTATTTGTTATTATTGGTAGTAGTATTTCATTTGACCAGAGAGAGAGAGAGAGAGAAAGTGAGAAAGCAAGCTGCCAGGTCTGGGACTCAAACCGCTATTGGCCATGTGGGAGTGTCCAGTGCCTTAACCACCATGCCACCTGTTGGCCCTCTTTTCAAACAATTTTATATGAGAGAATTCTTATGGGCTACCTGGTGGTGTAATGGTTAAGGTAAATGAATTCTACATGGCCAACTGAGTGATTCTACTCCTGGATCTGGTAGTTTGAAAAACATGAGTGTGTGTGCATGCCTAGAATCCAAAAAGTAGAATTGGAAAAGGAATTGTGGTGTGGCCATCTCCCATAGGGATGCGCTGGCTCGCTCGCTCTCTCTCTCCCACTGTGTGTGTCTCTGTATGGTTAACACATATACCTTCTAGCAAATTTTAAAAAAACTTATAAAAATATGGTTATGCTAATTTTTATTTTAAATACACAGGCTCTGATCCAACCCTACAATAAATGCTGTAACACCCTAATAAAATAGGAAGACAAGGGCCCATTAACAATATCACAACAAAAGTTAGACATATTAAGAACAGGAATAAAACCATAATTTGCTGGGACTTCTGAAACTGAAGACAAGCAGCTTAATATTAGATGAAAAGTAATACAAAACATAGTACAACTCCAGTGGTAAAATACTATAGATTTATTGTACAACTTCATACAATTCATTATTAGAACTATTCACACTCCTAGTAAGTTTATTTTTAAACCAAAGTATATTCTGATTTTAAGAAATATACGAAACAGTGAGAAGTTTAGGGAAATAATATACAGATATTCTTACCATACAGAATTATTTTAGCAGATTAGTATATTTTTCCTTCCAGGATTTTGTTCACATATATCAACATAGTTTGTATATCAAGATATAGCAAGATATTCAAGATATTTTGCCTGTATCCTGAACATGACATAACAGCTACCCATCATTCTATCACAGGAATGTATAGTCACATTTCAATCATTTTTCTACAGTTTGAAATTGGGTTATTGTTTGAAATCGTTTACTGTTAGGAATAACACTACAATGAACATCCTCACATATAATCTTCATCCAAATAGTTGTTTCTACAGAAGAGATTCTTCAAGTAGAATTACTAGATCAAAGGACAGAAATCATATCAAAGCTGTTGGTGAATTATGCTAAAGTTTGTGCCAAATTACACTTTGCAGCAGTGCACAAGAGAGAGGAAAATGGTGCCAACTTTTTTTCTGCCTCTTTGTTTTCAACTTCTACCTTCTTTTTCCTTCCTGAGTAAAACCTTTATTAAATGAAAAACTCAGAACTTTCTTAGAGATGCAATACTAAGTTTGGAGTTTCAAAATTTCAGATAATGTAGCAATTTAAACATGTAATTAGAAAGTTAATTATTTCTGGGAACCAGCAGTTAGCGTAATGGCTATGTCGCTGGACTCCCACGCAGTCGACCACGGTTCACGTCCTGGACCCAGTGGCTTAGAACTCACGCCGGGTGCGTGTGCGTGCGTGTCCAAGATCCCGAGAGGAGAATGAAGGAGAAGGGATTGCGGCGTGACCATCGCCCCTGGGGGTGATTTCTCGCTTTCTGTCTCTATGTCTCTCTCTGTCTGTCTGGCGAGAGCACGCGCCCTATAGCGAAAACCTCTCCAAAAAAAAAAAAAGTTAATATTTCTAAAAAAAAGTTAATATTTTCATTACAGTTATTTTAGCGCTTAGGAAAATTATAAGAATGAAGGAGAAGGGATTGCGGCGTGACCATCGCCCCTGGGGGTGATTTCTCGCTTTCTGTCTCTATGTCTCTCTCTGTCTGTCTGGCGAGAGCACGCGCCCTATAGCGAAAACCTCTCCAAAAAAAAAAAAAGTTAATATTTCTAAAAAAAAGTTAATATTTTCATTACAGTTATTTTAGCGCTTAGGAAAATTATAAAGATTCTTATCTAGTGGGACCAGCAGTTGGCGTAATGGCTATGTCCCTGGACTCCAACATAGTTGACCATGGTTCGAGTCCCAGACCCAGTGGCTTGAACTCACTCCAGGTGCATGTGTGTGCATGCCCAAGATCCTGAGAGGAGAAAGGAGGAGAAGGGGGTGATTTTTCTCTTTCTGTTTCTCTGTCTCTCTCTGTCTGTCTGGCAAGTGCACGTGCCCTATAACAAAACAAACAAACAACAACAACAACAAGCAAAAACTTCTCCAAACAAAGAAAAAAAAATATTCATATTTTGTGGGAATAATATTGTTTAAAACCTGCAAGAAGATGATATTTTTATACATCATATCTTTTTTAAAGAACTACTTTATTTAACTTCATTTATTTATTCCTTAAAAAATTATTTTACTTAACTTTATTTATTATTTATTTAAATTTGACCAGAGAGGGACAGAGAGAGAAAGAGATAAAAAGTGAAAAAGCAAGCTGTCTGGTCCGGGACTTGAACAGTGCTTGGCCACGTGGGAGTCCAGCACTCTTAACCACCATGCCACCTGCCAGCCCCCTAAGATGATGATTTAGACATACAAGTGATTTACAGTGGCACGGTGGTCTCTCTGCAAGGCAATCCCACATGGGGCAGTTCATGGGTCAAGTCTGGAGACTACCCTGAGTATGCAGGGACACACCTACCCATGATCCCAGCTGATCTGAGGGCAGATCAAGGCATTAAGAGTCTCTCTCTAGGGACCAGCAGTTAGAGTAATGGCTATGTTGCTGGACTCTGACATATTGGACCGCAGTTCGCGTCCCGGTCCCAGTGGCTTAAAACTCACGCCGGGCACGTGTGCGTGCATGACCAAGATCCCAAGAGGAGAATGGAGGAGAAGGGATTGCGGCGTGGCCATCCCCCCAGGGGGTGATTTCTTACTTTCTGTCTCTCTCTGTCTGTCTGGCGAGCGCACACGCCCTGTAGCGAAAACCTCCCCCCCCAAAAATAAGATTCTCTCTCTGTTGCTCATGGAAAAAGTTAATGTACTTAAAAGATAAATAAATAAAAGAAACCAGCAAAAAAATTGGGTAATCCACAATTTCATTACTAAATATATCTAGCTTAACTAAATTGATTAATTATGAGCAAGAGTATCATATTTAATTAAGAAGGTAAACTGTAAAAATGACACAAGCAAAATACTTAAAACAAAATACTTATTAAAAATATGCTAAGGGGACCAGCAATTAGCATAATGGCTACGTCACTGAACTGCCATGTAGTCAACTTCTGTTCGAGTCCTGGACCTGGTGGCTTAAATTCACACCCAGGTACGTGTGCATGCATGCCCAAGATCCCGAGAGGAAAATGGAAGAGAAGGGATTGTGGTGTTGTCATCACCCCTGGTGGATGATTTCTCACTTTCTGTCTCTCTGTCTCTGTCTTTCTAGCAAGCACATGCGCCCTATAGCAAAAACCTTTCCAAAATATATGCTAAGGGGCCAGCAGTTAGCATAGCAGTTATGTCACTAAACTCCCACATTAAAACTGCAGTTCAAGTCCTGGACCCAGGGGTCCAACTCATGCTGGGCATATGTGTGAATGTTCAAGATTCAAGGAGAAGAATGGAGAAGGGACTGTGGAGTGACCTTCTCCCCTGGGGGATTTTCACTTTTCCTGTGACTATCTCTCACTCCCATGAGGACACTTGCCCTAAGGCAAAACACTCTAATAAAAAATTTGTTTAAATACACTTCAAAAAAATTTTTTAAAGCTAAAATATAACTAATTTTTGAAATTAGTCTGTTTTTGTAGTAGTGCCTATATCCTTAAAAAGGTAACAATTAAAATTTTTTTTAATTCTTTTTTTGAGAAGTTTTTGCTATAGGGCACATGCGCTCACCAGAAAGACAGAGAGACAGAGACAGAAAGCAAAAAATCACCTCCCGGGGGGATGGCTACACCACAATCCCTACTCCTCCATTCTCCTCTCAGGATCTTGGGCATGCATACACACGTGCCCGATGTGAGTTTAAGCCACCGGGTCTGGGACTCGAACTGCGGTCAACTACATGGGAGTCCAGCAACATAGCCATCACGCCAACTGCTGGTCCCAACAATTAAATGTTTAATCCTAAACTGTAAATCCAAGTTTCTGTTTCAAAATATAATCTCTTTTCTGTATTTATTTCCATTTATTTCTCTGCTTAAAAAAAAAATAAGAAAGAGTACTTTATTATTTATATAATTTACTCCTTTTATATTTTCCAGAGGGCACTTACACTCACTAGAAAGGAAAAGAGAGAGAGAGTGAAAGTGAGAAGGCATCCTCCAAGGGGAATAGTCACACTGCACTCCCTTCTCCTCCATTTCCCTCCTTTTGGGATTTTGGGCATGTACATATATATGCCTGGTGTGTTTTTCAAACCACAAGGTCCAAGACTCTAAGTACACAGTCGGACATGTGGGTTCCAGCCCCCTTTAAGCATCACAGCAGCTGATCCCATAGAATTTAAAAATATTAATTACTTTAGTATGTGAATAAATAAGTTGTGATACTACCAGACAATGGGATATTACTAATTGCTAAAAACATGAGCTATCAACTAGAAAAAGACTGTAAGAAACTTAACTGGGGGCCCAGTGGGTGGCGTGGTGGTTGGGGCCCTGGACACTCCCACATGGCCAACCATGGTTCAAGTCCTGAACCTGAAGGCTTGCTTTCTCTCTTTCTATCTCTCTTTCTGGTAAAATGAAAATAAATGAATGAATAAAATTAAGTAATTCTTAAAAAAAAAAAAAAAAAAGAAAAGATAAACTTAAATGAACATTAAATGAAAGAAGCATAAAGTAGGTTAAATACTGTGTGACTGCAACTACATGACGTTCCGTAAAAAGTGAAAGCATGGAGACCATGAAAAGCCCAATGGTTGCCAGGAGTTAGGGACGAGGGAAAGACGAATAGGTAGAGCAAGGTGGATTTTTAAGACTGTGTTTCCACTGGGCTACTGCAGGGTACACGCTGGTCTGGACCCAGGGAACGTACAATATCAAGAATGAATGAACTCTAATGTAGAAACTATGGACTTTGGGTGACAACGAGGTATTGATGGTAGCTTTATCAACTGGTAACAAGCATATCATTCTGGGGGGGAGACTGGGTGTTAATAATGAAGAGGTTGTGCAGATAAGTAGGGTGTAGAGAAACTGTACTGTCAGCTCAACTGCACTTTGAACCTCAAACTTTCTAAACTATAAAGTTTCTTTAAAAAAAAAAAAAAAAAAAAAAAAAAAAGACATGCCATTCATTCATTCTTTTGGCAACACAGGGTCTTGTGGGGCCAGCAAGTGGTGTGATGCTGGACTTCCACATGGCCAACCATGGCTCAAGTCCAGGCCTGGTGGCTTGCTTTCCCGCTTTCCCTCTCTCTCTTTCTGTCTGTCTCTGATCAAATTCAGTAATAATAATAAAATGAAATAATTCTTAAAAAAAAAAAAAGAAAAAATGGTCTTGCTATGATACCCAAGCCAGCCTCAAGCTCTGGCTCCTCTTACCTTAGCCTCCTCTAGTCACAGGGATTACAGATAATGCCACTGTGCCTGCCCTTTAGTTTGAACCGGAACTAAAACTGGGTCTTGCATATGATCCCAGCCCGTGAAGCAGCCCCTGTCACCACATTATTTTTGAATCACTGCAATAATGCCATTGATAAATGTTTAAAAAATGTTTTAGATATGTAGTTACCTATAAAGTAATTCACTTAAAGACACCATTCCTGGGTCAGAGGCAGTGGAACAGTGGTGACACGATGCTCTGTGATGCTGAAGTCATGTGGGAAGGTCACCTGTTCACACCCTGAGGTGCGGGGCATGCATATGCCAAGATTCTAGCTGTGTGAGGCTTGGCAATTCAAAGAACTTATTGGGAGAACTGTCTCTGTCCCTGAGAGAGAGAGACAGATAGCTCGTGTACTTTCTGTGAACGTAGTTTCCTTCTCTCATTCTCTCATGGAAGAAATAAATAAATACACTGAAAAAAAAAACAAAAAACGTTTCCCTCTTGGAAAGTTTTCCTGTTTCAATTTCTTACATTCTATTAACCTTGAACTCACTAAAAAACAGGTAGCTGACCTGATGTCAAAACTCACAAGCCATATCTCTCTCACTGCTGTGAAGTCTGTCAGCAGAAAATACAACTAGTTATGTGTGCTATATAATAACTAAATCTGTCTTGTTAAACATTAGTAGATATAGATGAAGACGGATAGCTAGAAGAAAGTTCAAACACAAACCTCATTTTATTTTGCGATAATGTGTTTTCAAGGAAATATGCAGACATTGAAACATTTCATATTTGACTTGAAACAAACCATTTGAGAGGAAAAGTACAGTAAGACTTCTCAGGATAATAGGTGATGTCTTTGGGGGAAAAAAAAGTAAAAAAAAAAAAAAGTCACCTTTGCTTTATGGCTAAAAAATTCTCTCAGAACTTTGACTCTCTTTCCTACTTAACTCTTTCTGCTTATCTTGAAATTTTTATCACAGAATATAAAGGAGAAAACATAAGTCAATTAATCTACTTCTTACTGATTTATCTCAGAAGATTTTTTTAAATGCCAGAGGGTGGGTGCATTCACACTAAGAAGAAATAAGAGGCCCCCAAAGAGGACTGGTCATGCCGCAGTCCTTTCTCTTCCAATTCTCCACACCTTCAGGATCTCGCACATTCCTGCATGTGTACTGGCTATTTTTTTTAAGCAATTGGATCTGGGACTCAAATCCTAGTCAGTCATGTGGAGTCCCACATCCTCTGCATAGTGCTTAACTGCTACACTACCGGGCTGGCCCTCTCATAAGATTTTTTTTTTTAGGGACCAGCAGTTAGTGTAATGGTTATGTTGCTGGACTCCCATGTAGTAGACCGCGGTTCGCGTCCCGGATCCAGTGGCTTAAAACTCACGCCGGGCGCGTGTGCATGCGTGCCCAAGATCACGAGAGGAGAATGGAGGAGAAGGGATTGCGGCATGGCCATCCCCCCTGGGCCGTGATTTCTTGCTTTCTGTCTGTTGGTCTCTGCCTGTCTGGCGAGCACACGCACCCTACCCCCCCCCTAAAGCAAAACCCCCCCCCCCCCCCGCCAAAAAAAAAAAAAAGATTTTTTTTTTAAAGAGAGATTTTTGCTATAGGGCACATGCACTCACTGGAAAGACAGAGAGAGAGAATGCAAGAAATCAACCCCCCAGGAGGGATGGCCATGCTGCAATCCTTTTTCCTTCATTCTCCTCTTGGGATTTTGGGCACGCACACACACACACACACTTGATGTGAGTTTAAGTCGCCAAATCTGGGACTCAAACTGCAGTCGGGCATGTGGGAGTCCAGCAACATAATCATTACACCATCTTCTGGTCCCAGATTTTTAATGACTGATCAACTGAGGAGGGATATGAGATCTGAGTGAAAAGGTAGAAACTGTAGTCTAAGATTAAGTTTGTGTAGTTTCTGTGAATGTAGCTTATCCACATTCTGGAAGCCTATCCATCATATATGCTAAATGGCATATGAATTTCCTTTCTTTGAATAAATAATTATCTAACTATGACAGGAAAGGAGAAAAAGAGTTGCTAATAGGTATATTTTCACCACTACTTTCATTTCTGGGGGGCTGCCTGATGGTATAGCAATAAAACACAATACTCTGAGGCTAACACACACGGGAGGGTTCCCAGTTCCTGTCTTGACACCTCCCTGATTACACGTGGAAAGAGTACATAGGTGTCTGTGATGCAGGTCCACTGAGCCTGGACGTGGATTATGGCATGGAGACCCTGCTGGGGATGCCTCTCCATGTCACTCTCTGTTTCTCTCTCTCATGAAGGAAATACACTTTAAAAACAGCAGTAATTTCTGTCACAGTCAAAATTATTTAGAAAACAGTATTCTATTCCGGGTCCATCTGGACACTCAGCAGGATGAGGCCATGTGAGAGGCCGGGATTTAATACCTTCCTTACCCTGAACAGTAGGGGCCTTTTCCCTTGATACCCTTCTTTTTTTTTTTTAATTATTTTACTTAACTTTATTTATTTATTTGTTTATTTACTTTTATTTGACCAGAGTGAGAGAGACACGTGGGGGGCGGGAGTGAGAAACAAACCACCAGGTCCAGGACTTGAACCTCAGTTGGCCATGTAGGAGTCCAGCACCCTCAACCACCATGCCACCTGCCGGCCCCGCTACTACTGCCTTCTAATTCCTGCCCAGTGTCTCTCTTTTCTCTTTATCCAGTGAGTTAAGACTATTTCAGTGATTTCTAAATTTTGTTTTGTAGTATTAAGTGTCGTGGGGTTGCCAAAGTAGGCTAAGGAACTGGCTGAGAGGAGAAAGAAAATTAGCACTTTTATCTGTCTTATGTATTATAGCTCTAAATAAAGTCTCATCCTGAAAAATAGGGGAAAAAAGAGTTTGGAAATCATTGAATTAAATAATCTTCAAGGCATAAAATTATATTACAGCATGAGACTATCTTTCTGATAAAGGGGGACAAGAAAGTTGATTATAGATCTCTTCTGAGTAACATTTCTATGTTTTCAAAACTCCTTGATTGGTATAAAATCTATTTCTTAAAAATTACCTGGAAGAACATAAGACCATGAAGTCCCACTGTCATACCAAATGTCCAAAATATCCTGGCCTGGCACATACTCCAGGGCATCAGGGCCACCAACCTAAAAGACAATGCAGCAGTATTTTATTAATACAAAGGTCATTACACATATGATATAAACCCAAGACATTTTATTAAAATACTTACAATAATTAAACTTATATTTTAAATGTAATTTAAAACATTTTAAAATATTTCATGATTAAGTAAGACTCCCTCTGTTTGTATGTAAAAATGACCATAGCCACTTAATTACATTTACCTAGGTAATACAAAAAAAAATTTTTTTTAATTATTTTCCTATTTGGATTTTGTGGCATATCATGCATTGTTTCACTTTACTTCAGATCCTACAAAGTTCCAACATACCAAAGTCAGGTACTGTTCTCTTACAGTCGCAATTACAACTGCTTAGTCAACCAAATCAGTCAAAAATCAGTTCTGGAACTCAAAACAAACAAACAAAAAGATCCTCATGCATCTATATTAAATATTATGCTTCCAAAGTGCCTACTTTCACTGGACTCTAATTTACAGTGAATAAACTTATTAACTTTACATGGCAATATTTTTTAGCTCTTAGGAACCCCCTCATGTTGTCATGAAGACATGTAATACATATAAAGATTGTTAAATACAAACAGAAATTTACCTGAGATAAGACTTCGCTTGGAAGAAGTTGCTCAGGGGGGAGAGTCCACCAGATATCACTGCCATGTTGTTCCACGAGCTTAATAATATGCTCGATGGTTTGGCTATTTTAAAGAGGAAAGGCAGAATTATTCAATTGACTATTGTGACAAATAAACATTTTCAAATTTAAAAAGTTATTTATTTTCCTTGTCTTTTCTCTCAAACTCTAGTGGTGTATCTTTGGTCACTTTCATAGCTTGCCTATGGCTGTCATCTTAAATTCAACATAAATACGTGAGTTTTCAAATCAAACCAACATAGTCTGCCATTTCTACCTTTACATATGTTACAGTTGCTCCCACTGTCACGACACTAGTCCAGCCTCACTGCTTTAATAATACATTGTTGATGCACCAGTCTGAGTTTTCCACTGTTCTCATCCCTTCAATTTACAGAATATACCTGAAGATAGAGGCATTCCCAACTCTCCTTTAATCACACTAATTCTCTGCTTGAAAACTTTCAAGGACTCCCTCACTGCTTACAGGTCCAAGCCCAAAGCCATCGGCACGAAAGGCATACTAGAACCAAAGCCAGCCCCTCCATGTAGCCCTGGCACCATGCAGCACGGTCTTGTATCATCATGGCTGGGCTTACATGAACTTTTAGAAAAACAAACTCAGTAAAAAATTTATACTAATGCTTATCACAGTAGAAACACACTTTTAATTTATAGTATTTATTATTGCAGCTTTGCAGACATTATAGCTTCCTCTAGTTGCTTTCCATTTACACAGGACATACAAACGATTGAGAGCATGAACCCTGGACCCAGACAGTCTTGGTTTAATGCCTGGCTTTACCACTTACTTGCCATGTGACCCTGGGCAAGGCACTTAACATTTCTGTATCTGTTTCCTCACTTAAAATAACAGCCTCATTAAGACTTATTATCAATATTCACTGAACTAATATATATATAAAACTGCTAAAACCATGCCTGGTCTATTTTAATAAACATAATATAAACATTAACTATAATATTATTTAAACAGATTGTCCAAAGTCAGGTAAATTACACAATTAATTTTGTGCTAACCAATTACCAAAACACATACCCACATTAATATTTAAAGATTAAAAAAAACAAGCAAAAGCCAACTTTTGAACTATTCTGCTTTCTTTCATACTCCATTAGTGCAAGTAACTGAAAATTAACTGTAGATCCATAAGAGTCAATAGAATAGAAAATTTTTTGTTTGTTTGTTTTTGGCCACAGGGTGTATGTGCTAGCTGGAGAGGAGAGACAGAGAAATTGAGAGGGAAAGTGAGAAATTATCCCCCAGGGTGGTTGGCTACTCCACACTCACTTAAAATAACAGCCTCATTAAGACTTATTATCAATATTCACTGAACTAATATATATATAAAACTGCTAAAACCATGCCTGGTCTATTTTAATAAACATAATATAAACATTAACTATAATATTATTTAAACAGATTGTCCAAAGTCAGGTAAATTACACAATTAATTTTGTGCTAACCAATTACCAAAACACATACCCACATTAATATTTAAAGATTAAAAAAAACAAGCAAAAGCCAACTTTTGAACTATTCTGCTTTCTTTCATACTCCATTAGTGCAAGTAACTGAAAATTAACTGTAGATCCATAAGAGTCAATAGAATAGAAAATTTTTTGTTTGTTTGTTTTTGGCCACAGGGTGTATGTGCTAGCTGGAGAGGAGAGACAGAGAAATTGAGAGGGAAAGTGAGAAATTATCCCCCAGGGTGGTTGGCTACTCCACAATCCCTTCTCCTCCACTTTCTTCCTGGGATCCTGGGCATGCATGATGCCTGGCACGATTTTCAAGTTGTCAAGTCCAAGACTCAAACAGTGGTTGGTCCTGTGGGAGTGGGAGTCCAGCGCCTAAACCACCATGCCACACGGATTCTTAATCTGCATCTATGTCTTATTAATTATGACTACCTAGGGGAAATCATTTAACTTCTCTGAGTCTGATGATACGGAGACAGACGAACATTCACAACCACTAATATCAATTAAATATGTGCCACGAATTGAAATTTGAAATATCTTACATAAGCAAAGATATAAGTTTGTATTTTGTCAAGGATAGACTGAGAAGCTAGCAGATGGCATAGCAGTTATTTATATCACTGGACTCCCTCATGGCTGACTGTGGTTGAAGTCCTAGACCCAGTGGCTTGAAAATCACACTGCTCACATGTGCATGCATGCCCAAGATTCTGGGAAGAAAATGGAGAAGGGACTGTGGTGTAGCCATCCCTTCTGGGGGGTGATTTTTCACTTTCCCTCTCGCTATCTCTGTCTCTCTCTGGTGAGTGCACAGGACCTAAGGCAAAAACCTCTGCCCCCCAAAAAAATATTCTGAAAAAGTGTACTGCTAGCAGCATGTCCTTGGAAGACCTACAAATAGCAAGAATGCAAGATGGGTACAAGTCCATAATTCTAAGACAGTCACTCATTTTAGATGGACTTTAACAGTAAAGATAACTTCTGTGTTATGAGACCATAAAAGCTTGATTCAATAACTACAGGTTATATGACAATAATATCTAGTTATACATTACTATTTTGTACAGTTTGCACAGAACATTTATCAGTTAAGAAAATATGAATATTCTATAATACAAAAATGTCAGTAAATCTACTGCCTATAAGAAAAAAAAATACTAGCAAAGTATGTTTACATACAGCACATAACACATATAAATTATAGCAGGTATGTTGTTGATATCGATTATGGAATTTTCATCACAAAAGAAAGATCTTGTCAAGGTTACCTATCTGCTTCTGTATATCATGGAAGAAAGAACAAAAATTTTAATTTTAAAAGAGAATGATTCTAGGAAATAGAGGACATTTTGCCTTTTTATATTTTTAGCAGTATTATCATTAGATTGCCAATTTTAACTAGACAGTAAAACAGTTTTACACATATTGGAAATAAACAGTAAAGACAATACAGAAGTAAATGTTCACAATTTCATATTAATTTAGCAAAGACATTAGAATATTACTGTTATCAAAAGCTTTTACATGTACAACCACACAATATACTTTTCAAAGTATAACTGGATATACAGAAGCATAGTCAGTAGAGCTTGGGTGGGCTCCATAATGCAGTAATAAGCTACTGATTAAGAAAAGTTGAATTTCACAGCCAGCAGATGGCATAATGACTGTGCTGCTGAACTCCCGTGCAGTCTACCGCAGTTCGAGTCCCGGACCTGGTGGCTTAAACTCACGCCAGGCGCGTGTGCACGCATGCCCAAGATCCCAAGAGGAGAATGGAGGAGAAAGGACTGCAGCATGGCCATCCCCCATGGGGGGGGGGTGATGGTTATGTCTCACTTTCTGTTTCTCTGTCCCTCTCTATCTTTCTGGTGAGCACATGTACCCTATAGCAAAAAAAAAAAGAAAGAAAATTTGAATTTCACATGACATCCTTGGCCCAGTCGGCCTGAAATACGCTAGGCCTCTATGCAAGTTCTAGGACCTGAAGAACTGGAGGATGGGAGAAGGGGAATCATGGTGTGACTAGACCCTTGGAGGGTGAGGTTGCTCTCCTCTCACTCACAGCATGTACATGTGCTCCATCATGACTAAAAGAAAAATAGGGGCTAGTGGCGTGATGGTCGAGGCTGCAAGATGGCCAACCCTAAAGTTTAAGTCCCAGACTTAGTGGCTTGAAAAATCTAATGCACGTGTGTGCATGTGCACAATACCCAAGATCCCAAGAGGAGAACAGAGAAGGAAGAATTGCGGCATGGCCTTCCCTGCTGAGGATGCTTTCTTACTTCCCTTCTTTCTGTTTCTGGTGAGCACATGCATCTTGCAACATTCTTTTTTTTTTTTTTTTTCAACATTCTTTAAAAAGAAAAAACTACTCATTTCAGTTCATTAAAAAAAAGAAAATACAGTTAGTAGCTCTTGACAGACTGTTCTATGTCTTGAGGGTCCTTAAATCATGAGGCTAAGCACGTAATACAGTTAGAACTAAGCCTTAAAACTGTGGTTCCTAAATCATGGTTTAGTGATGTTTTTACTTCTCTGTTCTGCCTCTTTGACTCATAAAGTCAACCACTGTAACTGAACACTCCTATTCTCTTGAGTTTGCTAAGCAATGGCAAAACTTAATTACTCAGTGAATCAGAGATGAAGTCAAGAATCTAGGGAGTCTCCAGAGATTAGTGTGTTGACAGAGCAAGTGCTAAGTCCAAAGACCAGATGAGACTTACTGGATGGCAGGGATAAAGTATATTATTTTTCTAAGCTTCAGTTTCTAAGGATACTAGCAAAAGCTGGGGTAAGGAAGGCTATGTGAAAATTTTCAATTCTTTAAAAACAAGTTCTGAAAACTAAAGGAAACTGAGTAACCTTATGACTATAAATAAGGTTTCTTCCCCCATTTTAGAATGACAATTTTAACTTTATGAAACTAAGTTGGGTTTTTTTTTTGTTATTACTTTTTATTATTTAATTAATTTATTCATTCACTGTACATCAATACAATATACAAAGTGAGATATTCCATCCAGAAAATATTGTACATTGGCTCAATTAGGATACTACCATACACATTATCGTCAACAAATAATTTTCTATTTCTTGTTTCTTACATATTTTGCCATTTTTTTTTCCCCTTGATTCCTCACCTCTCACCCTTTGCCATCCTCCTCCCGCTTCCTACACTGTCTCTGGTATCTACAGTTGTTTTCCAAGCACTAAGTTCTTTTTGTATCCTTAAATATCAGGTAATTCAATAAAGTTTTATCTTTGCTTTTTTTCCCCCAGAGGGTGCATGTGGTTGCCAGAGAGAAAGAGAAAACAAGTGCATGCATGTGAGAGTCCCCTCAATGAAGCCTGATCTCAATGCAATCCTTTGTCCTCAATTTCTCCATCCCAACGTGATTAGGGGGATGCATGCACACATATCTGGCATGTTTTTCAAGCTGCCAGGGCAGGATTCGAACTGTGGTTGGCAATGTAGAATCTGGCTCACGTAACCAGGAGCTAAGAAGCTGGCCCTCAATAAAGTTTTAAAACTGTATTTTAAGTAATTTGTTTATT